TGAATCAGACAGGCCTGGCCATAGCTCAGCTTTGTCACTGACTTATTCTACGTATGGGGATCAAAGCTACCTGCCTCCAAGGGCTGGTGGTTTGCGTCAAGTGCTCATCACTGTGCGTCCCGCAGTCGGTGTCAGCATTGTTAGTTCCTCTTCTCCTCCGAAATGACTTGATGTAAATGCAGTGTGACCCAAACACCATCTGGTGCCCTCTTGCCTCAGCGACATCAGACGGCATTACAGACGGCTCAGGCCCCCGCCCCTCCCCCGACGTTTGCTGGCTCCCGGGGGTTGGGGGGCTTACTCTCTGGTCCCTACATTCTTTTATTTTTTAGGATTGATTTATTTATTTGAAAGTCAGAGTTACATAGAGAAGGAGAGGGGGTGAGAGAGAGGTTTTCCATCATCTGGTTTATTCCCCAAATGGGTGCAATGGCCAGAGCTAAGCCGATCTGAAGCCAGGAGCTTCTTCCAGGTCTCCCACACAGGTGCAGGGGCCCAAGGACTTGGACCATCTTTTACTGCTTTCCCAGACCACAGCAGAGAGCTGGATCGGAAGTGGAGCAGCCGGGACCAGAACCGGCCCCCATATGGGATGCCAGCACTGAAGGTGGCAGCTTTACCTGCTACGCCGCAGCACTGGCCCCTCTCCACATTCTCAAGCCATCTCAGCTTCTGGCATTGGTTGGATGTGAAATTCACCTGCTTTGCTGGTTTGCACAAGACATCCACTCACAGGTGCAAGCTCGCGTGCTGAGCGGACTTGACACCAATTTGGGGGCACGAGGGAGGGTCACCTCCCAGGGAACACAGCTTTCTCAGTGTGTCCCTCTGATTCAGGGTTACGCCTGTGCCGCCTGTGCCGGGGAGGTTTGTTCAAATGCCGGATTCCAGGGTTTCTGATGCAGACCACGGGGGAGGGGGGCAGGAATGTGCATTTCTGACCTCACACTTTGAGAACCACTGCTCTGATCTGTGTCTGGGCTCTGAAACCTGCCCCCTCTTTTGCGTAGGAATCGCTGCTGCTGCAGAATCCCCTCTCACAGCCACCCTGGGTCCACCCTGGATAGGATTCATTCTTTACACGGGCAATTTGGATTTTAAATACCTAGCGTGGAACTTGGTTTCAGTGTGAGACAGTCCCCTGCCCTGGCTCTCTGCCGTGACCGCCAGGGTGACGCTGAGAGCTGAGAACTCCTACTGGGGCTCAGGGGGGCGGGTGTGCGGACCCCATCAGGCTCAGCACAAAGCCAGGCTTCTCTGAACTGGGGTCTCAGGCTAATCAGCCGCCAGCTCTGGGGCGGGGCGGGGCTGCCGGGCCGCAGCTGTGGCTCCAAATTGCTCCAAGGCCCACTGCCTGGTCCCGCTCCAGCAGGAACTGACATCAAACAAATGGGCTCTGATGCATGAAGTGGGGGGTGTGTGCTGAGCCCGCCCCCACCTGATATAATGATGGCTGCCTTGATGAGAGGGGCGAGAACAACTCTGCATCCAGGCCCTTTGGGGGCAGCTGGGCAAGGGGGGCGCAGGCTTCACTCTTAATAAAGACAGAAAGATGACTGGTCCCCTCCCCACCGGGTCCCTTAATCCAGCGCCACGCCGCAGATTAGCATTTCTAATGGGCCGGGAGGCGCAGTCTTCAGGAGACAGATAGTCTGGGGGTCCCCCGAGAGGCAGTGGCTTTGTCTGGCCAAGGCTGAGCTGGGGCTGGCTTTCTTTGCACGAGATAGTCGGCTCCCTCTACCTCTGTACCCTAGGGTGGGGGCTTCTGCTCCCAGACCTGGGCAGGTGGACTCTGACCCTGACATGTCAGACCCAAGTTCAGGATCCACGTGCAATGACGTGAAAGAGCTAAATCCGCCTGGCCACGAGTGGCTGCCTCGCTCACTCACTTGGTCCTCCGGCTGGGCTTGCTAGGTGCCTGGCACAGGGCTCTGAACGCAGCAGTGGGAAAGGAGCTCTTGCACCCAGGACGTAGACAACAACTGCCATCTACCAGGACCCTTGAGGCATAAAACAAGTGCTGTCAGGCACAGTGAGGGGACCCAAAGGAGACCGTGCCAGGGTGTGCGTGTGTGTACAGGGTGTCAGGAAGAAGTGTGCATGTGCGTGTGTGTACAGGGTGTCAGGAAGATGTGTGCATGTGTGTGTGTGTACATGCACAGGGTGTCAGGAAGAAGTGTACGTGTGTGTGTGTGTGTGTACATGCACAGGGTGTCAGGAAGATGTGTGTGTGTGTGTGTGTGTACATGCACAGGGTGTCAGGAAGAAGTGTACGTGTGTGTGTGTGTGTGTACATGCACAGGGTGTCAGGAAGATGTGTGCGTGTGTGTGTGTGTGTGTACTTGCACAGGGTGTCAGGAAGATGTGTGCATGTGTGTGTATGTGTGTACATGCACAGGGTGTCAGGAAGATGTGTGTGTGTACTTGCACAGGGTGTCAGGAAGATGTGTGCATGTGTGTGTGTACAGGGTGTCAGGAAGATGTGTGCATGTGTGTGTGTACATGCACAGGGGGTCGGGGAAGATGTGTGTGTGTGCATGTGTGTGTGTACAGGGTGTCAGGAAGATGTGTGTGTGTGTACTTGCATAGGTGCACAGGGGGTTGGGAAGATGTGTCTTTGTGTGTGTGTGTGCATGCACAGGGGGTCAGAGAAGACGTGTATGTGTGTGGCTGTACAGGCCCTGAGACAGCGGCCCCTGAGCTGACAGTGAGCATGTGTCAGCCAGCACAGAGCCCACAGCCTGTCTTCCAGGAAGTGGGGAGGGCTGGGCTCTAAGAAGCAGACAGAGTGAGTGTGTGGGCTCGGGCGCAGCAAGGCTGCTGTGAGCATCAGCTCCAGTGTCCAGAGCAGGGGAGTGGACGGTGAGGAGGGCGTCATTCTGGACAGAGCCAGCTCCGGGCACTGGGCTGCACACCAAGCCCCCTGCCCATGCCACTCCGGGTCACTATAGCTAGCTTGGCCTGTCCCTGAGGGCTGTCCCTGTCCCTGGGCCTGCAATGCTACCCTCCCTTCTTACGTCACTAACTGGCACGAGTAGGTTATTAATACATCCTTCTTAATTGAACTGCCAAACCTGGGAAATGTGAGAAAGTTGTGCATGTCACGGGGAGCTGGAAATAGCTAGGAGCGGCTGGGATTTAGGGTGTGCGCGGGGTGTGGTGGGAACAGAACTGGAGAGGTGTCAGCTGTGGGAGGTCTGACCCGCCGAGCCCGGGTCTGGATTCTGTCCCACTGCAGCAAAGGAAGGTTTGGGTGCCTTTTAGAGCACTCTGGCTGCAATGTCGCCGCGGAGCAGGGGCACAGGAGCAAGGACACTGGCAGTTCAGACCACGAGGGCTGGGACCAGGGGGAAATGTGCACAGGGACACGGGGGTCGGATTTCAGAGACAGCCTGGGGACTTGAGAGTGATGAGAAAGGACTTTTTAAAAAATGTTCATTATTTATTTATTTTAATCTATGAGAGAGAGAGAGAGAGAGAGAGAGAGAAAATTGATCTTCCATCTACTTGTTCACTCCCCAAATGCCTGCAACAGCTTGGGGCTGGGCCAGTCAAAACTCTGAGTCTGAAAATCCATCCAGGGCTGGCGCCGTGGCTCACTAGGCTAATCCTCCGCCTTGCGGCGCCGGCACACCGGGTTCTAGTCCTGATCAGGGCGCCGGATTCTGTCCCGGTTGCCCCTCTTCCAGGCCAGCTCTCTGCTGTGGCCAGGGAGTGCAGTGGAGGATGGCCCAAGTACTTGGGCCCTGCACCCCATGGGAGACCAGGATAAGCACCTGGCTCCTACCATCGGATCAGCACAGTGCGCCGGCCGCAGCGCGCCGACCGCGGCGGCCATTGGAGGGTGAACCAACGGCAAAGGAAGACCTTTCTCTCTGTCTTTCTCTCACTGTCCACTCTGCCTGTAAAAAAAAAGAAAAAAGAAAAAAAAGAAAATCCATCCAGGGGACCGAGCACTTGCGCCATCACCTGCTGCTTCCTTAGTGCAGTAGCGGGGAGTTGGATCCGAAGTGGAGCATCCAGGACTCCAACCAGCGCTCCGGTAGAGGATGAAAGCGGTGGCTTAACCCAAGGCACTACGACGCTGGCCCCGAAGGGATATTTCTGATATTCCTAGGAGTCAGCAGGGAGGTCCAGGGTGTTGCACGACATACTGTGAGCTGCCCAGTAATCCCGGAGGAGCTGCACCTGGAAATAGGGTCTACGTGTCCGCCCCCACACATGGTTCTCTGTCCGGCAGAGCTGGGTCTGTGTCTCAGGGGAGTGCCTTTGCCTGTATTGCTGTCACTACCCACAAAGTCCCAGTGATTTTTCTGCAAGAGTGGAACTGCCTCCCAGCCCTGCCCTCCCTCCCACCTTCACCCAACCCTGAAGAAAGGGAGGGGGTCACGACGTCCGGGGCTCCTTCACCACCAGTCCTGTCTGGGCATTGCACAGCACGTCTGCTTGCACGCACGGCCATGCTGAACAGGGAGGGTTTCCAGGACTGAGCGCCTCCCTACACCAGTCCCTCCAAGTCTAAAACACAAATTGTGCAAACGAGCTTGTCCAACAGAACCACCTTCCAGAAAGGGGCAGCTCTGGCAGAACTTCCTAGGGTAGGATGCTGGTGCCCACGGAAAGCCTTTTCTCTTTAGAACATGTTCGTGCATTGAGAGGCAGAGAGACAGAGCAAGCTCACTTTGGCTGGTTCACTCCCCCAAATGCCAGTAGCAGCTGTGGGGGCTCAATCCAGGTCTCCCGCAAGGGTGGCAGGAACCTAACCACGTGGTCCAGCACTGTCGCCTCCCAGGGTCTACACTGGCAGGAAGCTGGGGTCCAGAGCCGAAGCTGGGAATTGGATCCAGGCACACTGATGGGCGACGCGGGAGCCCTAGCCAGTGTCTTAACTGCCAGTCCGCACCCCCACCCCAGAAAGACCTCGGATTCATTTCCGTCACCCCTTCGCACTCCTCTCCCACACATTAACCGAGGCAAATGAACAAATCACACGGCCAGAGTCCACTTTGAACAACTTTGATTATACGTTTAGTGTTCTCTATACAAAAGAAATCAGTTTTTACAGTGATTCGGAAAAAAACTCTGAATAATTTGGCCTTTTCGTTGCTCATGCAGTCAGTTCATAAGTCCAGGTATTAGATGGTCCTCTGTGGCCACGAGTCCTCCCCACCGAAGGCCCCAGCGCCCTCAGACACGCACCTGTCGCTGACGAAGTGGGTTAATGCGAAATATCGTGCCCAAAGGAAAGAACGCGCTATGAGAAGGGTTAAGTCGAGGTCTGCCCGCGGAGAGTTAACTGTGTCACCAACAGAAAGAAATCAGGCCAGCCAGTGGGTGTGTGGGAATGTGGGGAGGGATGGAGGCCCTGGGAAAACCTTTTCCCACTGAAAAGAGCAAACTGGAATGGTGGGGCGATGTGTGTTGGGGAGGAGCAGGGTAGGAGGTCCTCCAGGTGCACGTGGGGCAGGGGTGGGACCAAGACAGAAGGCGGCACAGGCGACGGATGGACAGACGGACGCTCAGCTCAACAAGGGGTGTGAGGAAGCCGGCGGAGGGTGGGGAGCCGGGCAGAGGGACAACACTGCCTGGGGACATGGCGTTTGGGAGTCAGAACAAACAGCAGGTCAGGGTCAGCTGATCTGCAGCGCTTTGAACAAAAGAAAACAGAGTCGTACACAAAACTCCGGAGAGTTTCTCCCAGACTTTTGTGTTTATTGCTTCACGGAACTCTTTCATCCCAGCGACTGCCAGGCTGGCAGGACAGACACAGACCCTCTGTGCCCTCCCCTGCGGATCGCAGCAAGCTGAGGGCTCTGGTGTCACTGCACGGGAGCCACCACCGGAGGGGGGCGCAGTCTCGGCTTCACAGTAATGCCACCAATCAATCAGCCTGTCACTCTCGGCTACAGTCCTGGTCACTCCTACCCTGCACGGCTCGGGCAACAACCACAGGCTGTCCCACACCGGCTGATCCCATTGTGGGAGGTGCACGGGGATGTGGGAGACATGGAAGAGGTGCCCAAGGGCGGACCTGGACAACAATGGCTCCGCAGTCACACCTCCGTGCAAGGAGGCAGCGGCAGTGAAATGAAAGAACACTGGACAAGGAGCAGAAGGCCAAGGTCAGGCCCCACCCTGACCTCAGCTGACCAGCCGCGTGCTTAAGAAGCTCCCTGCCACCTCCTCTCCTCGTCTGTTCCATCAGCACCTGCTGACGTCCGATTCCATCCTCAGCTGGACCGCCCGCTTAATACCCACACCCCCACAGGAGGAGCACCGGCTTCGGCTCTGGCTTGAGACCCCAGTGGGAGGCCCTGCTGGGTGTCCTCACCGTGGGTTCAGGGCGGTTCCTTCCTAGTAGAGGGGAAGAGAGGGCAGGTCCTGGGCATGGCCATGCAGGAGGGAGACACACGGGGTGGTCCCTGCAGTTCACGGGAGGGGCTGCAGAAGTCTCCTAGCGCACGGCGTCTCAACACTTCCAAGTTCTTGGCTTCCTTGGACCAAGTCCTCTCTAGCTTTCCTTTATGTTAAGCTGGGGACCTCCTCCATCTACTCCTGAGCCCCCGTGCAGGACGCTCTGCTGGGCCTGACCCCACCACGGGCTTGGGCGCGTTTCGCAGGGGCTGGCTGCAGTGGCACCAAGGCGTCACGAGGGCCAGGCTGTGGGCTGTCCTTTCTCTGAGCAGCCCAGCCAGGGCTCAGCCCACGGACCCGCACCCTTTCAGGGTGTTAGCCAAGCAGCCCACAGAGACAGCCTGGTCATAGCCCTGCTCCAGCCACACTGGGGATGCCCTAGGACTTGCCCAGCTCCAGCTCTGGGGCTTAGCAGGGACCATAATCAGCCACTGGCCGTGCTGCCCCTGGGGGGTTTCTCTCCCCTGCAGGCCATTCTGTCTCTAGACTGGAGCCACCTGAGTAGGGCCCATGTTGTGCACGGAACCCATGCAACACCTTCTACATCACTTCTCATGCAGGCTCAGACACCAAGACAACATCATCATCCAGACCGTCAGCCCCTGAACTGCTGCTCTACTGTGGTGCTGGGGTCTGCGTCTCTGTGTAGGTGCTGGGCGTGGCAGGGGCACTTGTCCCTTAGCTGGAAAACCCACAAGCACCCTCGCATCTCTCTCCCCCTCTTCCAAAGGTCAACTGTGGTCAGAACAGGATCTCCGGGCCCAGGCGGCAGGTGCACCTTGCAGGGATGCTGTTGGCACTGGCTGGCTCTGACAGGCGGTCACTTCTCCAGACCTCAGGATGTGCCAGCAAGAGGGAGGACCAGATGTCTGCAACCTCTCCGGGCCAGGGAGATGAGCAAGGGAGAGAGCTGAGACTCAACCATGCCCTCAAAGAAACAGATGGGACCCCGCCACCATAACCCAGGCAAGGCAGGAGGTGGCTGTCCCCTCCTGTGGTGGTGTACTTCCAAACACTGACCTCCCTTGCCCCTCAGGTGGGCCCATGCCCCTCTGTGGGGGGAGGCACTGAATACAGACAGGTTAAGTAGTGGCCCCAAGAGGCAGAACAAAGAGGCTCCGGAAGCAGTGCCATTTCTCAACCCCACCCTGCGGGCTGTGACCGCCCAGCTCTGACAAATCCTGCCGACCACACGGGCCAAGATCTGCCTCTGCAGCCTCTCTCTGCTTGCGTGGAGCCATCAGCAGCTTCAGCAACTCAGGGGCCAGTGTCTCAAGACTCAGGTCCCAGATCGGCCAGCCCCGGAGGGCAGGCACCACACCTGACTCAGTCACCACGGTACCCGGAGCTCAGGCCCTGGCTCAGACGAGATGCTCAGAGCATCTGCTGAGTGAATGCAAATGGACAGACGAGAGCACAGCACTGGGTCTGCAGCCCGGTCAATGCAGCTTCCACAGTCACTACAAGACAACTGCACCTCCTCCCCCGCCAGGCAAGCTGCAGCACCTGGGCATCGCCCACTCCTGGCATGGTTGTTGGTATGCTTCGAGACACACAGCTGGCAGGGAGGGCTGGGCAATACTGCTTTCCTGCTGAGTTGGGGCGACTCTGGCATGGGATCCACAGCAAAAGGCCTCGCCCATTCCTGGGAGGGGCAGCCTCTTAGGTTAACCTTGCAAGCCACCTACTTCGGCCTCTGATCTTGCTGCGCCATCTTGGGGTGGGGAGAACACTCAGCTCTTCAGTGCCCAGTCTGCTCCTGCCTGAAGGGCTGTGGTTGTGTGGCAGTTGTGGTGGGGGTGGGGCAGATCTTGGCAGCCACAGAACAATAGCCAGAGAGAGAGAGAGAGAGAGAGAGAGAGAGAGAGAGAGGAAGGCAGCAGTATTCTCTTGAAACACACATGGAGGACGGTTCAGAGCCCAGGAGGGCACTGGAACAGGGTGCACAGACCAGTAGACTCACCTCTCCCAGGACCCTGCAGACAGAAGAGGCAGGGAGACAGCTACGATGACACCATCAGCCCTTCCTGCCCACAGCCTGCCTTTGCTGAGGGGCTCACTAGATGGCCGTGCAGCGCGGACGGATGCCTGAGAAACTCGACCACCGTGTGTACACCCAGACTGCTTCCGGAAAGGCCAGTCCTTCACTCGGCCCCCACCCTCGCTTCCCTGACGCCCCCCTCAGCGACACTGGGCTGGGGCAGCAGGTGTTGGAAGAGAGCCGGAGGAGAGGGTCCCGAGCTCTTTACCCTGTCCCCTTTCAGCAGGAGAGCGGCCCCTGGGCCTTCCCCGTGCACACCTGGGCGTGGCCCGGGCCCCAGGGCCACGGCGCACTCCTCTCAGGTTCACAGCCCACCCCTGCTCGGCGCTGGGCTACAGTGCCTTTTCCTGCGGCTGGAGCGCGTGCGTCTACGGGCTTGCCTGCATTTGAATGATTCCGAAGGGATGCAAGCCTTGCTAATACCGTTGCGGCTTCAATATGTGGCAAACGACGCTTTCACAAAGCCACTGAGGGACACCAGCCTGGACCAGCTTGGGCCCCTAGGCCAGCAGCTGGAGGCCCCTTCTTGGGGACAGCTTCATCCTCCTGGAACCAACTCGGGCTGCAGCAAGAGCTGAGGGCCCGTCATAGGCTCCAGACCTCCCCCTCGCTCTCACCGGGGATGCCAGGTACCTTTGGTTTCAAAGAGGATTAGGTGGGGAGGGAGAGGCAGCACCTTCACTCTGGGAACTGCAGGTCTGCGAGGGTCTCTTCCAGGGGCCCAGGCTGAGGGCCCATGAGTGGCTCCTTCAGTCCTGCTGGGGCACTGCTGGGGCACTGCAGGGGCTGCCCCCAACAACTTGAGACAGACACAGGTCGCTGGAGGCTGCGAGGCTTGCGCGGGGGGTGGGGGGGCTGGGCCCCTGGGAGCTCCAGCGACAGATCAGAACTGCATAAGGCATACAAAGAGCATTGCGAGCCCCAGGCAGGGGCATCACAGCACGGCCAGAATGGTGCCACCTCAGGGTCCCCATACGTGTCTACCCTCCGTCTCGGCGGCAGGTCCCCATGCACGCACCATGTTGAATGGAGTCTCAGTATCATTCAGAGCTGACCAAGGCAAGGAAATCTGCTAGAGCTAGTGGGGGGGCAGTGCCTTACACCCCCAAACACAGGCCGCCATCGCCTTGAGGGTAGCAGCGAAGACACCTGGCAGGTGGGCGGGCACCTCCCTGCGTCCTGGTTTCACTGCCGGCACAGGCAGAGGAGGGAGGTCCAAATCAGCCTTGTTCTTCTCTCTACAGGGGAGCACAGTTCCCCCAGCACCCACACGGGTCTGCTCCTGCCTGAGGCTCGTTCCCCGGGGCTGGCGTCCTCTCCACCAGAGCCCACTCCCGCTCCTCAGACCCGTATGGTCTGTGCAGCTCGCATCCTGGTTTTCCCGGGGGGAAGATGGAGGAGCTAGAGGTAAACTCATCTCCCAAGCGAACCACAGAGAGGCAAGGAGGCCTGCCCAGCTGCTCCTGCCAAAAATACTGTTGTTTCCCAGAACGGAGCCGAGCCCAGCTCAGTGACTGCCAGGCCCGAGGCGCAGGGGCTGGGAGCGAGGGAGGCGCGCGGCGAGAAAGGCATCCTTGGGAAGAAGGCTCGCCCTGCGGCTGTGTGAATACTGCGGCTCTCCCGTCCGGCCGTCCACTCTCGGGTCACTCCTTTTTGCCTACCGTGGTGGTTTCCTGGGGCAGGAGCCACCCAGGCCCTCTTTCCCAAGGACACTTCTTCAAAAAGGAAAAGGAAATGGAGACACTGGGTCCAAGGGGAAGAAGCACAAAGCCCAAATAAACACGGTGAGAAGTACCGCAGCCAGCAGACGCGGTGTGCGCCGGTGCCAGGGTTCAGGGCGGCTGGGAGACGGGCAAGGGGCCGGGGCTCCCTTCAGCGAGCTTGGCCATGGCTCGAGCGCTCCCACACTGGTGGCACCCGGGGGTGTGGGGGGGTCATTGGGAGGGGGCTTGTGGGTGGCTGGGGGGGTCTCTGAGACCCCCATGCTGTACCCGTGTCCCTGAAGGTGGCGGCGGCTGTGTGGCAGGGTCTGCAGCGGCTTCGTCTCCCCCTCCCCTCCTCCCACTCGCAAAATAGTGGCGGAGCCCCGGCGGGCTCGGTTAGGCCAGGGAGTAGATGGCGTTGACGGGGGACGTGGCCTCTGAGCTCTCGTTGCCCTCCGTCTCCTCCTTGTCCTTCTTGACCGTGTACTGCCCGATGAAGGAGCCGTCCTCGTTGAACTGGCCCTCCCCGCCCTCGCCGTAGTCCACCAGGCTGTCGTCGCTCTCCTGCTGTTTGATGGTGCCGTCCAGCGACGTCTGGCTGCCTTGCAGAGGCTTGTTGTCCTCGTCACTGGCCACAGAGAGACAGAGAGTCAGGGGCTGGCCTGGTCCAGCGCGGCCCATACACCCTGGCAGGGAGGGGCAGAGTAGCCGCCTCTGGCCGGGTGTGTGCCCTGCACAGCTGGAGGGGGCAGGCACCCCCAGAGTGCACTGAACAGTCCGCCTCACCCTCCCTTGCCTGCCAAAGGGGCACTGAGGCCTAGAGTCCAGCATCTTCTCTAAGCGAAGTGCTGGGTCACCAGAGCAGGATCTGGAGCCCGCCCTTCTGGGCTGCTGGGCAGGGGTCCCCTCCATGAGACTGGGCTACCATCAGGGGTGGGAGCAGGCAGGGGAGCATGGCCACAGACTGTGAGCCACGGCCAAGCTGGGGGGTTCTAATCCCAAGTGTGTCACCGTGTGCTCTGATGACCTGTCCATCAAGGAGGGCCTGGATCGGCTGTGACCTACTGCGACCTGCGACTCATAGGAAAAGGCTCTGCCATTGACGGGTAAACCTGCCCCCGCCTCTCCACCTCCCTGCTGTTCCTCCGACACCCGCTGTGTCTACAGCCTGCTGCTGTGTCTACAGCCTACACCTGCTGCTGGGGCCGAGCAGGTGAACGAGTGTGTGACGGCAGGAGGGAGGGGACCCAGATCAGTGCCAGGCCCTTCCTTAAGCCCCACCTGAGACGCAACCCCTATAGTGGAAAGGCAGGGCCCAGCCTCTTGGCTGTCTCCCTTAGCCAAAGGAGTCCTTGTCTGGCCTTTACCAAAAGGAATTCTCTGACTTGTGGGAGTGACCCAGCTGGCCCCAGAAGGGTCTAATCAACGGCCTCAAGAAGTCATTTGCTTCTCCAATGGATAAAACCCTGCTGGCCAGCTCGGTCCAAAGGGGTTTGTTTAGGGAATTCAAGGTCCAGGCAGGGCAATTCCAGGTCTCAATACCACTACACGTATCCCCCCACTCCCTCCAGACCACTGGCGCCCACCTGGCCATCATAAATTCCCTACAGAGCACGGCGTCACCAACCAAGGAAGGGTTATGAGCACCACGCACTGACCGGGAATTTGCACACGGCAGATCATGCACCTGCGGCCCCAGTTTCAATTTCAGTCTGTAAGAACCTCCACCCCAGCTCCTCGGGGAGCCTGGGAATTGAACAGCAGCCGCCCAGCTCCTTGCTCTGCGCTTTGCAATAAACACCTACTTCCTCCCACCACCCCGATGCCAGCGACTGGCTTTCTGCCCATCGGGCAAGCCAACGCCAGTTTGCGGGTCCTATAGCAATACCTCCAACCAATTTAGAGTGTTGTTTGGCAACACTCCTGAGTGGAGTGAGCAGGGAGGCCTGGTGGGTCAGGTGGCACCGGCCCCTGGGCATGGACACCCAGTCGGCATGTCAGCCGTGCTCCCCAGGAGGTGAGGGGCTGCCCCCTGTACCAGCATCTGCTCAGATACCACATTCTTCCCCAGGACTGCCTTTAGGCTCAGAGGGGAACAGGTGCTGCGGGCTGCACTTCAGAGGGGAGCACACTCCCAAGCAGGAGGCAGCCCCGACCAGCAGCGGTGGTCTTGGTCCCTGAGGGTGGCCCACAGCGGTGCCAGGCAGTCTGAGCAGACGCGCCCCACCCTCCCCTGCTCACACTCAGTTCTTCCGGATGACTGGATGGCCATTACAGCGGGCAGTGTGCTCTCCACTTAATAGCAGGGTGGGTAAAGGTGGCTGTCGGGGGAGGGCCGCTGGGTGCTAGAGGATGGAAAGCTATTAGCCCGGTCCCCTGGCCCAGTGCGTGGCGTGATGGGGCCACATTAGCCAGCCCAGCGGAGCTCTCTGCTGGGCAGTGCGGTGAAAGGCACGGCTGGAGCCAGGGCTGTGCTGAACTTGTGCAGGGGTGGGGCTCACTCTCTGTGAGCTGGGGGGGGGGGTCTCACTGCCAGGCTCCTCGCCCCACTTGCCAGTCTTCTGCATACATACCCCTTCCCAGGGCCTCTACCCTCCCGCAGGCCCCTGGGATCGTGTGATGCCATCTGCCAAGTTGCAATCACTGGGCAGGGATGGCTCAGCCAGGGGAGGGGTCTGGCCAGAGTCTTGGGGGAGCAGGGAGTCTGGAAGGAACAGACCTCTCCTAAATGAACCTGAATGATCTGGGGTGCCCTGGTCTAGCCACCTGTCAGCCTTGCCTCCAAGCAAGCTTCCGGGTCCTGTGGGCATACATGGGGGAGGGGGCAGAAAGGCCCCAAGGAGAAAGGCACTTGGCCCCTGAGCCACAGGGCTGGAGAGATGAGCCACGTCGGTCCCTCTGGGTGCTGAGTCTGTCCTGATGTCCTGATCTCAACCTTTCCCCAGACCCATCCAAGCGGAGGCTCCAGGACGGCTGCCATGTGGTGTGCAGGCCGGCCGGCTCCCATGCACACACATCCAGCCTCCAGGTCTTAGGGGAGCAGGCACGGGCACTGGCCCCGCAGCTTTGGTGTCTGGGGAAGAAGCGCACGAGGAAGCAGCTTCTCCCGGTGCAGGCTGCAGGGCCCTGTCCTGCAGGAGCTCCTCAGTCCGCTCTCTGGCTGCACTGGGGGCTGGGCCAGGGAAGGCCCCATGGCCTATGGAGCTGAAGGCCAGGGAATGGCTCTTAGCCCATGGGGAAGCTGGGGACAGCCCGGGGAGAAGGGGCGGGAACTCTGGGCTTGCCCTTTGGGAGGTCTGTGGGGACAAGGGACTGGGTGGAGAGTCACGGTTCCCTAGGCTGCCAGAGGTGCTCCTGGGTGGGCCACGGCGCCACGACCCACTCATCTGATCCTGCTTGCCAGGCTGCTGCTGGGCACAGAGGGGGTCCTGAGGCTGAATGAGTTGCAGCAAGGGGGCCCAGGGCTGGTTTTCAGAATAAAGCTGCAAACCAGGAGCTCACCATTTGAGCTGGGCAGGGGGACGAATGGATGGCATGGAGCAAATGAACGGTGTCCAGGAGCCCCCTCTGTGTGCACCCTCAGCAGCCTGCAGCCCTGCCACAGCTCCCTCCACCAGAGGGGCAGAGGGGGCAGCCTGGTGGGCTGGGACACGGAGGCACACAGCCGCAGCAGCTGCTCTGGGCGGGGGAGCTCACGCACCTGTAGTCAAAGGAGCCGTCCTCTTCTTTGGGGTCCTCGGGGCCAAGGGGAACATCTTTCTTCTCTCGCACTTGGTGGGAGGAGCAGACACACAGGACGATGAGTGAGCAGGAGGCCCTGTGCTCCAGGGCGCCCGCCACGCTGTCTGCACTCAACCAGCTGCCAAGCATGAGCTGCCCCTTGTCCTCCTCTTCACCCGGGATGGGGGGCTGGGGGGGTGCTCTTCGTAGCTCCATTCACAGCTGGAACCACCCCCTCTCAGGGCCTCCCCCAAACCCCAAGTAGATGTGATCCTCTCTTTGCCAAAGGCAAATCCTCCTCCGCTGTTCACACCTTTTCCCTCAGCTCTCAACAGCAGTGATCTGTGCACACTTCGCAGGCCTGTAACAGAGGCTGGCTCTCTGCCGATGGTGGGGCCTGGGTGTTTCCTCAAAGCTCCCAGCGGAGCGCCCTCCATGCCCATCCGTGGGTGGCACATGCCCTCCTATCCGGGACCCCACCTGTACCTCCCCCTGGTGTGTCGACGCCCAGTGGAAGCCCTGTCTGCTGTGCTGTGTTGGCTGCTATGTCCTTGGGGAGCAAGACCGCTTCCCCCCGAGTCCCAGGGGCTGGTATGCAGCGGGCCTGGCATGAAGGACTCTGTGTGTCCTTTCTGAGGCACAGGGCAGGATAATCAGGCCAGTGTTAGGTGAGGGAAACTGAGGCTTTCAGAGGTGAAGAACACAGCCATGACTAATTGGCAACCGAGTGAGGCTCAGAGCCCAGGACTCCTGGCTCCTCGGCTGCTCGTCTTTGTAATGCACCAGGGCTTAGCCTGCAGCTGCAGGGAGGGAACTCAGCTGTGAAGAACTTTCTGGAATGGGGCATTTCCTGCATGGGCAAAGGAAGGCTCAGGACTCATCGGCACCCTTGGATGCACGTGCCCCAGACCCAGCGGCAAATGAAAGGCCGCCTTGCCTGCCTTCTCTCTTACGGAGAAACCAGCAAATGAGGCAAAGGCAAACATCACCGGCCAGCCAGGATTCTGATTCTGTTCCCTCCTGTTGGCAGAGGCCTTAACTTCAGAACCCTTCAGAACGGCAGGGTCTGTAGCTGTGGACACAAAGCAGACCCTCCCTCCCTTCAATTCCTTTGTGCTGAGTTCTAAGGGGCCCTGGGGCACATTTGGAGATGGGGGCTGGGGGGAGGGGAGCAGCTTCGTGCACGCTCAGGGTGATCCATTATCCTGTCTCCTGTCACCCTCCCCACCTGCCACAGAAGATGGCTTGCTTGCCCCTGTCTGAAAAGCCATCAGTCTTTCCAGGAACCGGAGGCCAGAGGTCCCCGGCCTTGGCCCCGGCGTGCCTGAGCTGGAAGGCTCTCGAGACCCATGGAAGAAAAACGCCTCCCCAGGACTCTAGGGGAGCACAAAGCCCTTTAAGGGGGAGCCCCGCCTGGTCTCCGCCTGCACCCCCACCCTCCTCGCCAGGCAGCCTCTCTCCCGGGGCGCCTCCTCTTCTCTGCTCTGACACATCAGAGAAAACGCCTCTTCTCCTTCCTCCCTTCCTGGGACACAAGAGCCGAACGAGATCCAGGCTGGAAAAGCCAAGGCGGTGAGCAGGTGGGTGGCAGGTCCCAGAGGGAAGCTCATTCCTCACCGAGCCCGGCTTCCTTCCACACCCTTGGAGCTGCCTGGGAGACGCCAACCCCACCTCAGGCAAACCGAGCTCACCCAACAGCCCTAAAACGCCCAGGGCAGGAGGAGGGCTGTGCGGCTAGCTTGGCAAAGGAGAGAACAGAGTCCCAGCACCTGGCTGGGAAGGCGCCGCCTCCCGAGAGAGCTGTCTGTAGCTCACCTGGGTGCCTGTCCCCCCGGGTCCTGACCCCCAGCTCACCTGGGTGCCCATCCCCAGCTCATCTGAGTCCTGTCCCACAGATTACCCGGATGCCTGTCCCTGGCTCACCTGGGTCCTGTCCCTGGCTCACCTGAGTCCTGTCCCACAGATTACCCGGATGCCTGTCCCTGGCTCACCTGGGTCCTGTCCCCGGCTCACCTGGGTACTTGCCACCACGACTCCTCTTGATGAAACAGACGATGAGCAGGATCAGCACCAGGAGGGCGATGGCGCACATGAGCCCGATGAACCAGCCCTGTGTGGCGATGTCGGCCTGGTTGTTGGTGTAAGCTGGGGGGTTGGGGGGAGGCCAGAAGAGCCATGAGTGATTTCGTGGGGGACAAGGTAAGGAGGGAGAGTTGGGGGGTGCTGCAGCGACTTTCACGTGGTCTTTCTCCTGGAGCCTAGCACTCCACCTGGCAGCCCTCTGGCCCAAACTATCCCAGGAAAGGGGCAAAAAGAAAATCATTCAGGAGCCAAGGTTAAAAGATCAGCAAAGAAGCAAAGGAAAGGAGTCAGGGCAGCAGATAAGAAGCAGAAAGCTATGCAGGTGCCCGTGGGAGGGAAATGTCCCCTAAGGACCAGGCACGGATCCTGCAGACCCACGGGTGGGCGGAGATGGCATGGAGGGACGAGTCCCCTCGAGTGAGCCACAGTGGAGAGACAGGGCCCACACGCTGTTCTTCAGAGAGCGGGGGCTCTAAGAACACCTCCGTGGGCCTGTGCAGGTGCCCGCAAGGCCTGGAGGCTGCCTGGCACTGGGTCCTGGGCTGGGGGCAGGTCCAAGGGCCTTCTGTCTCCCCAGCCAGGTTATACGCTCCCTGGCAGCAAGGCAGTGCTGGTGCGGGCACCCCAGACAAGTCCACGGGCTCAGCACTACCGGAGTTGTACCTTCCTTCCCGCCCCAGGGCACTGCCAGATACCTTCCACACAGGGAGACCCTCACCTGGGCCTGTGACAAGCAGACTTACCCCCGCCTGGCCCCATGGCAGCGAGGCCCCCTCTGTCCCTGCCTGTGTGCAGACCTGTTTCACGGGGGCAGAGCCCAGTTGCTTTATGGGGCACAGATGGGTGGGCCCGGAGAACTGGAGCGCAGGCATCATGTGACACAGGTGTCTCCTCTGGGCCAGTGGAGGGGGCTGAGGTTATGGCTACAGAACAAAGGGGCAGCTCCTAAAATGCCTCAATGGGGAGGGGGGGTCAGAGGAGCAGAACCCACTCCAGCAGTCCTGCCTGGCGACAGCCACACGGCAGCTGGAGCCCCACGAGCCGAGGCAGCGGGCCGCCCCTACTTGGGAACAAGCGCGAGGATCACTGTAGGGGCTGCTCCAGCCCCCGTGCTCCCAGACCCTCATCATTTGCCATTCTGTGGGGGGGCGAGGGGTCTGTGTTTGCCCGGGGGCAGAGACCATCTCCTTGACCCCATGGCATTGCACCAAGACAGCTCTCCGTGGATGGCAAGCGTGGACAAGGGAGCACTTCTGTGCTCTCTGCACAACAGGGCTGCCCCCAGGCCCCAGGAGCAGCGGAATCCCAAAGACCACCCTGATGTGTGTCTGCCATGGAGAAAATGCCCCCCCCCCCACCGCGGTGGTCAGAGCCCCCTCCCGGAGTCTCCCGGGGTTCCGACCACTCCTTGCTGCAACCCCCAAGGCTTCCCATCACCATGGAGAAAACCGCATACCTCAGCCCAACACGCCACGCTGCCGGAGCCGGCCCTGGCCACCCCTCCTCCCACCTCCCACCACGCTCACCGCACCCTCAATGTGCCCGCCAGACCGGGCCGCTGTCACTCCTGCGCGGCTGCCAGCAGATGCAACTCCCAGAACCTCCCAGCCTAAGCAAGTCCCTCCTCCCGCCCCTGAGGGAGGATCGCTGTACCGAGCACTCTGATTTACCTTTCTCACAGCACCCGTACCCACTTGCTTTATCGCTACTAACAGTTCCCGCCGACAAGCACTTCCTGTGGACCAGGCACTGCCTTAAGTACCCTCCCACACATCAGCCAGCCTAATCCTTATCACAACCCCACCCGGCGGGGTTTCCCTTTCGTTCCCAGTTTACAGATGATGAAACCGAGGCCCAGAGAGGTCGAGTGACTTGCTGAAGGTCACAGGGTGAGCGCAGGGCAGCACTGGGATGCGACTCTGGAGAATCTGTGCTACAGGCCACCCCACTCTCGTCCCCCACGCAGAGGTTGGCTCCTGGAGGGAGGGGCGGCCAGGTTCCCCGGTGGCTCCCCGGGGCTGGAGGCAGAGCCCGGGGCGTCAGAGGTGCTCAATTTACCCCCTGCTCAAGGAGCCCTCATCTTCCCTCCACGCAGCGCACGCCCCGCCCCGGCCTGTGGGGCCACCGCTTGCCTTGACCTTGACCTTGTCCCGCCTCTCATACCACCCACTCGAGCTCAGCGCAGTTCTCCCAGTTCTCCGCTGTGGGGCTCCTGCATCTTTTTGACAGGCAGAGTGGACAGTGAGAGAAAAAGAGAGACAGAGAGAAAGGTCTTCCCTTTGCCGTTGTTTCACCCTCCAATGGCCGCCGCGGCCGGCGCGCTGCGGCCAGCGCACCGCGCTGATCCGATGGCAGGAGCCAGGAGCCAGGTACTTATCCTGGTCTCCCATGGGGTGCAGGGCCCAAGCACTTGGGCCATCCTCCACTGCACTCCCTGGCCACAGCAGAGAGCTGGCCTGGAAGAGGGGCAACCGGGACAGAATCCGGCGCGCCAACCGGGACTAGAACCCGGTGTGCCGGCGCCGCTAGGCGGAGGATTAGCCTAGTGAGCCGCGGCGCCGGCCGAGCATCTTTTCTGCTCTCACTGGGGAGCTCGGCTGGGGCAGGAAGCAGACCCAGGCCCCAGACGGGAGCCTGTCATTCCTCTCCGTCCCTACGGCACTGCCCCCAAGCGCCTGTTCCCCTCCATCAACAATGACCTCGGACAGCTCTGCCCGGTCTCCTCCTCCTGTGTCCAACAGGGGCTCTCCTTCCCCCTCCAGAGATGCTCCTCCCTCCTACGGGGGACCCAGTGGCCCTTCCTCAGCCTCTCGGCCCCATACAGATCTCTGGTCTCCCCAGCATCTTCTTCCTCTTTGCTGTTAAACACATGGAGGGCTCCTACATCTTCAAACCAACCCGAAGCACCTTCCAGTCTCTCCTCGGCTCCGGCTCACGCACTGTCCTTTCGTAAGAGCCCCCTTCATCTCGCGAGGCGTCCACTCCCTGCCAACCCTGTCCTCACCCCAATAAGCTGCCACCCAGCCCCTGCGTGCTCAGGCTCCCCTTCATTCTGGAGGGGTCCCCTCACCTGTTCCCCTTGGTGTCCATGGACCCCTAGACTTTACATTGTTACAGCCCGAGGACCCCTTCACCTCACCCCGCTTAGGAACACGCCACTGCCTCTCTGCCCTTTCCACGCAGGGTTTGGGTCCTCGGCTGGGCCTCCCAGGTGCCCACGGGCTGTCCGTGCCTCTCCCTTCCTGCCCAGGCACCCTGGACCACACCCTCGTGCCCAGCCCTTCCCACTTTCTCCACACCCCACACCCCCCCCAGTCTCAGGGCGCTCCAGCTCATGCCTTCTCTCACCTTCGATTTCTTTCCCAATGTTTCCACACAGCCCTAACGTTAACCACGTTCCCCGGTCCTAGCGTGCAGTCCCAGTCAGCCCTCTATCCCCGGAGGCTGCTGTGAATTCAACCACCATGGATCATCAGGCCCTTGACGGTCCTATCTGCACGGAGCATGGACGCTCTCCTTGTTATCGTGCCCTGGACGCTACAGTACAACTGTCAAGTGTTGACATTGTGCTGGGTGTTGACTAGGGATATTTAAAGGACACAGGAGGATGTGCACAGGTTACATGTGAATACGGCGCCATTTTACACTTGGGACTCGGGCATCTGTGGATTTTGGCATCCATGGGGCGTCCTGGAACCCACACCCACTGATACCGAGGGACGACTGAGTACAATTAAAGCCTTGAGACCAGACATCTCTCTGAACCTCCCATGACTCAGTATGATGCTGGCCCTAAAACAGGTAGTCAGGGGCCAGCGCTATGGCAGAGTGGGTAAAGCTGCCGCCTGCAGTGCTGGCATCCCATACAGGCACTGGTTCGAGTCCTGGCTGCTCCACTTCCGATCCAGCTCTCTGCTATGGCCTGGGAAAGCAGTAGAAGATGGCCCAAGCCCTTGGGCCCCTGCACCCACGTGGGAGACCTAGAAGAAGCTCCTGGCTTCAGGTTGGCCCAGCTCCAGCCATTGTGGCCATTTGGGGAGTGAATCAGCAGATGGAAGACCTCTCTTTCTCTCTCTGCCTCTCTGTAACTCTGATTTTTAAGTAAAATAAAATAAATAATAAATAAATCTTTAAAAACAAAAACAGGTAGTCAGACTACTTACTGATGAATGGAGCAACCTAATCCGAAGATAATGTGGTTAGCCCGGGATCTACTCTGGGATGTGCCCACGCCGTGCACCACGCCTGGGCACCGGGGTGTGCGACTGAGCTCCCTTGTGTGTGCACAGAGAGGGGCGGTGCCCATTGCACCACCACCTTCCTGCTTCTGATGGCCTCCGGCAGCGTCTCCCCAAGACCCGCCTTCTGGGGGAGAAAGCTGTGACCCCAGGGAACTGAGAGGAAGTGCAGCTTTCGGTCCCTGATGGCGCCAGGTGGGGGGCAGCTGTCACCTCCTGTTCTAATGTAAATGCCCAGAGCTTCCCTGGAGGTTGAGACGAAGACAAGACGTGGGGCTGGGGGTGAGGCGGACTCACACACGCCCGTTAGCGTCCTGAGAACCAAGACTCAGGGAACAGTGATCTCGCTTATTGTGCGACCCCACGGCATGGGCTCTGAGAGGAAGGCGGTTACATCTGACTGCAACACACACTCGATCGATCCGCAAACTTCCTTAAAGACCCCTGTGGGTCCCAGCACACTGGCACTCAACGACCGACGTGTGTGGATCAGGGCTTTCAGCTGAGTGGACCAGGGCCAGACAGCATCCTCTCACCGGGCCCACGGGCTTGGCAAACACAGGTCCAAATGCCTCTCACCGCGGACCAGACAGGCTGCCGCCCCAACCCGACAAGCCACTAGCAGACAGCTTGACGCCTCTGGTGCTAACTGGGGCATTTGGTGTGAGCATGGAAGAGGCCCAGGAGTCTGGAAAAGAAGAATATTCTAGAAACAGGGATGGCGGAATAGCTTAACAGGGATGGAGGTTCTTCAGATGCAGTTTGGCCTGACTGCTCTCACCAAAGCCCATTCCCCACCTCTCTCATCCCAGCTCACCCTGGCCTGATGGAAGGGTGTCTCCCCCACACCCAGCAACAAGGCTGACCGCAGTCCCCGCCCCTGCCCCATTGCTGCCTCACCCCAGTGTGCAAGAGCAGAGGGGCCCTCGGGGTCCAGGGTTATGTGTCTGCAGCCCCCTCAGGTCTCTTTGGCTTCCAAAGCTTCAAGGAGGTGATCTTTCTGGGGAGGGCCAGGCGCTGCCAGCAGTTTCTTTCCATTTCCTCCCTGCACAGCCGCGGCCGGTTTGAGTCTGCGGACTAAGTGATGGCCTGAGGCTGCCCAAGTGACTGGTGGCTGGAGCCCAGGGACGCTCAGGAATCCCTGCTCTGATGAGACCCCGGGACCCGGAGACTGCAGCCCTGGCGCCACAGTCCGCCCACAGGAAGTGGTGCCTCTTCACAGTACGCGGACCCCGCTCACGGGCGCTCGCACACCTCAGAACATGAAAACCTTCGGTTTCTCTATGTGGTTTGTGCAGCAATTTCCAGCTACCCTGGGAGGAAATGAGGCGTTCCCAGAGGCAGGGGCAGAAGCCTGCCCAGTCCTGCTTGCACTGGGAGGCGTCTGGGGAGACCCATGCGTGCCGAGGCTCAGAGAGGCTCCCCAGACCCAGCACAGGAAAAGAGACAAAGCATGTATCAGTCATACACTGTGTGCCTAACACCTCGAAGCAGGTCCTCTCCTCTCTGGCTCTCTCTCGTTCATTTGCACCCACAGCCCTGGGGCTTGGCATCTGGACAAGCCCAAGTCTCAAAGCAGACTGTGTTGGCAGCATTCCCCAGGATGGAACTCCACTGTCAAACATTGCTGCTGCCTGCCCCTGGGCGAGGCTCAAGTTTGTAACGAAGCAAAAACGAATGCACGCACCGATGAGCAAGGGCTTGGGACTCCAACTGGGTCAGAGGGCGTCCCGCCACCTGCTCCGCCCTGCCGGTCACCTGTCCGGTTCCTTTGCTTGGCTCTCCTTGGAACTGCATGGCCTGACCACTCACTCAGACACGCTGCTGGAACTGGCCTCGCCAGCTGCACGCAGGCAGCCAGAGACCCGGGGGTCTCTAGGGCACGGAAATGTACAGGGTAGGCGGAGGCATAAGGAAGTGGACCACAAGAGACCAGGCAGGAAAGGGGCGGGGGAGCCATTTATGCAGATGGGGACCAATTCCCAAGGAGCAGCCTTGCCAAGCCAGGCACAAGGCACGAGAAGAATCATGAATATTAAAGCCACACTCAGAGTTCATATAAATCACTGCAGGTCCCCTCCCCCATTCTGCATGACTAATAACCTGCATCTGATTAGGGCATCCGGCCCCAGGCTCATCCTTTTCCCTCTTAATCTCTTTCCCCCACCCTACTCTGGGCCCCAGGGCTCAGCACATAGGGCACTTGGCAACTGCCTGGCTGGTTTCAAAGCCGTCCACACTCGCTTAGACACACTAGTGCCCTCGCAGGCTCCAGGCAGCCGGCTACCCCGGGCGGCAGAGACATCCAAGCCTTGTTCCCTTCCAGGAGCCCCAATGGTCAGTTTGCTGGGGCCCCTGGAAATGCTTTTCCACCACCAGGGGCAGCTGGGAGCAGCAGTCCTGCCCCCAGGCCGGCGACAGTTCTGACCATAGCGGCCCCTCTCTCCCAGCGCCACAAATGCCACCCGCTTCCTGGCCACAAGAAACTCAGGACCAAAACTCGATCAAAAACAAAGCTCCCAACAAGTCATGTTGCCCACTGGGGAGGTGAAAGGTCATGGGGGAGAGGCAGCACCATGCCACTGGTTTGGCTCTTGGGAGCTTTCTGCGTGGAGACCCTGGGATGTCCACCTCCCGATCCCACAGGGAAGAAACAAGCCCCTGATCTTGCATAGGCTGCTGCACTCCCCTACAGCCGCCCTGGGCCCACACACAGCGCCCAAGCTTGCAGGGACACCAAGTCCTTCTGTTTCAAATGCTGTCATCCTCACCACGCGATCCTCTGTCTGCATCTGACCTCCACTCCGCCCCAAGGGGTCAAAACCGAGGTTTCCTCTGCACGGCGCATGCACAGGCAGCTCCCCCGGCTTCCTGGCCGCCTCTGGCTGATGGACCACGAGAGCCGGGATGCACCATGCAAGGCGGGGAGTGGGGCGGCCGAAGAGGAGAACGAGATGCCCCATGCTCGTAGGGGGTGGCCAGCCAGCTCCCCTCTCACCTGTACTGGTCATAAAGGTGATGACGGTACTGCTGATGCCCTCGTGGTCCCGGGAATAGACCCGCAACGTGTACGTCATCCCGGGATAGAGGTCTGTCAGCTGTATGGGCTGGGCCTGGGCCTTAACAGGGACAGTTTTTTTCGTATGGTTGCCTGGGGAACAGAAACCTCAGTCAGCCCAGAGCCAGGCCCCAGGAGCTGGAGAGACAGTACTCAGGTCCCCGGTCACCTGTGGACGGCAGAGAGGGTGGGGGAAGGGCCAGGGGACCGCGGGTCCAGTCCATCGCACGCGCACACAGGCAGCTCCCCCACACCCGTCCATGCACGACTCGCTCTCCTGAAGCACCGTTCCTCGCCGCAGTGTTGGCCCTAAACACCGACCCACTTCCTGCGCTCTCAGTCTGCCAGCCCACACGCTGGGGCCCTGGAGGCGGTTAACTTCTGCCTGGGATCTTCCCCAGGGAGGGTCGGAGTGCCAGGCAGCATCCTTCCTGGGACCTGGCCCTCTCATTGTCACCACCAGGAGAAGCAGGTGCCTGTGTGTCTGGGCTGCGGGTGAATGGGGTACAGGCAGCGGAGAAAGGGCAGCCCCCCGCCCCGGGCACTCCAGGTTCTGTGAGTGTGAACCCCTCCTCCGGACACGGACAGCCAGGAGCTGGCCTTGCTCTTCCCTAAGCCAGCTTCCCCTGGACTTTTGCCTGGGTGAGTTGGCTTGGAGCACACAGGCCACAGGGGCCCAGCGGTGTGGGGCTGACCCCACGGAGCAGGGGACTTCTGGGAGAGGGGGCAGAGCACCTGACCGCAGCGCAGTCGGACCCTCCTCTCTGACTCCCAAGATCTCCCAAGGAGCCAACAGGCAGCTCAACGGGCAGACGGCTTGGAGGGTGTCTCCCACCGTGGGCCACCCGCGTTCTCTGCAAACAGAGTGGTTACAGCCCGCATTGGTGGGTGGGCTCTGTCTCTGGTGGAGACGTCGGAACAGACGGGGTCTGAAGTGGGACTTGGCTCAGGTTGGGGCTTCTCAGATGGACAAAGTCCTGCCCCATGCATGCAACGCGAGCCCTTTGCTGATGGCTCCGGGAGCCCCTTCCTTCTGCAGGCTCCTCCTCCCACCTCGCTGCCGCCCGGGCGCCTATCAGTTTCATTAAGCCACAATGAAGCCAAGCCAAAAGGCCTCGCTGAGCCTGGGGGAGTCCACAGGATCTCTGGAACGGCATCTCCCACTACCCGGCACTGCCGCTGCCGCCGCCGCCACCACCACCACCCACACAGCAATGCTTACTGTCAATGTACTCAACCACAAAGTCAGTTCCGGGCCCGAAATTGTGCTTCCAGGTGATGTTGGCCCATTTACTGTTGGGGAGCACTGTGACGTTCCATATGGACTGCTCGTCGGGGGCTGGCGGATGGGCTAGAAGAGGAGTTAGTGATGAGGAGGGAGGCAGACGCGGAGACACAGGGGAGACACGCACATGCACACAGGCACACAGTCAGCGAGGGAAGGGCAGAGCCTGAGCTGTGCACAGGCCCAACAGCGCTCCGAGCTGCAGCCTCGGTGGCCAGGCCAGAAGTCACTGTCCAAGGACGAGCAGGTGCAGAGAGGAAGCTGGCCGCCGTGTACCCACACAGGTGAGATTACAAACGGAAGAGGGCGTTTCAACTCCACACCCTTTGAGGCTCTCCCCTAGGCTTAGGGAGCCCTTGTCAGGGGGTTGAAAAGGGCCAGCAAAGAGGCCCATGGCCAGGGCGACAGAAGGGGCACACGCTGGCCTTTCCCCTCCCCCGTGGAAACTCTGCGGGAAGGCGGGAGGTTTTCTCCGAACGCCAAGCGGGGGTCTTGCAGGGAAGATGGGGCAGGGGCAAATCTGGGGAACCCTTCCTGGGTTCCTGAGACTGGAGGAGGGAGCAGAAATGCAAGGTGCCTCTGGGGCTGTGCTTGGTCAGGGAGAGCCTAGCCGATGACCTTGCATCGGAACCCCAGGGTCCCCAGTGCGGACAGCAAGAACCCTGCCTCTCCCTCTCGTGGGTTAGGTGGGACAGAGAGGACAGCTCCCTGCCGCCACTCAGCCTTCGCTGGTCCCGCCCCCAGAAGAGCCTTCAGCCTTAAAGGCCTGCCGACTGGGCATCGCAGACAACACCGATTATCTCATTTGGATGAGCCAGCTGCCGCGTTACAGAACAGAAGCCGTGGCGCTGTCTGAAACCACAGCCTGTGCATGGGCGAATGGCACTGATCTTCACACGTACTCATTTCAGGAGTCCCGGTGGTCTGATCACCCCATTTCCCAGCAGAGATTTAATAGTGGAGGACTAACACGGAGCCTCGTGTTTCCACGACTGTACAAGTACGGCTCTTGGGTATTTTACCAACATGCAAGGGGGCACTGTCACCAGCTCACTTGTCAAAAATAAATGAACAGAGTACGTTGGTGAGGCATTGATGCATTGTCTACGTGACGTGTGAGCGAGTCTGCAGGGCGGGGGAAATGATTAAAGATCTCCTGGCTTTCACTTCAAAGAACGGCCTCTCCTACTACAGCCTCGACAGGTGCGGGGTGCCCGGGTGACTGTGATTCATGTTGGGTGAGAGGCCGAGAAAGCGGCTGTGCTGATGGCCCCACAGAGTGTTCTCCGGGGTGGGGAGGGGCTCAGGGAGGGGCTTCTTATCTGCCAGGTGTGCCCAGCTGGCTGCTCAGACCCCGGCCCCTTGGAATGCCATGGCTCTTGCTGCTGGGAGGGTATTACGATTGGCCAGGATCTGGGGACTTGAGTCTCTTTCCTCCTCAGCTCTGTCTCCTAACCCAGCCAGAGGACCTGTGTGGCAGCAGGGGTCAGGCAGACGTAACACAGACCCACGCTGTGGACAAGGATCGGGGCTCTGATAGGAGAGGTCGGAATGGCTCAGAGGAGGCTGTGCAGGAAGTACTGCCCCACGCAGACACCAAGACGGTGGCCCCAAAGAACCAGAAAGCTTCAAGAAAAGGACCAGGAAGGTGAACTGTCAGTAACTCAAAACAAAAGCAAGAGCCAGGCAGGCACAGCTTCACCCAATCACGGCAGGCACAGATAGAAGGGCCTGTTCCACCCTGAGCAACATGAACTCGGGAGACATTCTGTCCTGAGACGTCAGACCTGGGAAACATGGAAATCCATTTCCAAGCAATGGTTCCTGGATGGCAGAGCCATTCGGCATCGCCAAGAGAAGCGAGGATGCTAGAGGACTCTCCCCCTCCAGCCTCCCAGTAAGTTCAGGACCAAGGCCAGGGCCTCTGTAGTGTGGGGCACAGCTGGGGTGGGAGTCTCCCCGGGGTAGGCTCTGGGTGGCAGCTAGGGGGAGTCTCCCTGGGGTAGGCTCCGGGTGGCAGCTAGGGACACCTTCCAGGAAGCTCAGAGACTCTGCAGGGGAGGCCGGACCGACTCCCTGTTCTCACTCTCGGTGCACGGCTGCAGAGAGCTCATGGTGGTCTTAGGGCACAGAGCCCAACCTTCCAGAAAAGCCGCCTCACTGCAGCCCCAGAGTGCCATCCACCAAGCGACCGATGGCAGCTCCTAACAGGACAGCAGGCTTCTCCTGGGCCGGCACGTCCCTAAAATGCACATTGTTTAACTTCCAGCTGTTGCACCTCTGCAGCAAAGCGGGGTTTGTGACGTCTCGGGGGGCAGGACGTCAGCTGTGGATCACCCGCCTCTCCTGACCGCTCACTTAACTCCATGCTGTTGGGTTAATGAGGCACCCGAGTGGTACCAAGTCTCCACCCTGGCCCAGGTGGCTGGGAGGGGATGACATTGAGCCCTTGGAGGGTGGAGGGACCTGCCCAGGAAACAGGCAGTGACGGGGAGAGGCCTAAATTCTACCAATGCTGGACGAGAGTTCAGGGTGCTCCCTGCCAGCCTGCCCGGCTGCCTCACGTGGACTTTGCAGCTGCTCAGGGGCATGGGAGGCTAGAGACCCCGCCCCGTGCAGGGTACAAACTGATGCTGTCCAGTGCCTGGCAGTGTCACCAACTACCGTGGGGGTCTCCTCAGGCTGGGAGAGCAGAGCTGGCTGGCCTGGCTGCCCACACAGGGATGGCATACTCTCCCGGCTCAGCAGGCTGATACTGGATCAACTTCTACCAGGGGTCCGGGAACGGCTGCAGCTCTCCCTACACGCACACGCGTTGGGACTCAGGGAATACCAGTGGGCCGCGCGAGGGAGCAGCCCAGGCACAGAGGGCCTCTGGGAGCTCTGACAATTTGCAAGTCTGCAAGTGTTCCTCGGGAGAATCGAGGCAGGGAAGGAATACAACGTCCCCGGCCTCTGCCCACAAGGCTGGATGTGGACACGGCTGGAGCGGGGAGCCCTGAAGCCAGCTTTTCCTTCCTCATTCTGTCCCGACAGGGCCAGCCCTGAGCTAGAAGCAGTCCTACAGTCTTGGGGGTCCCTGTCCCAGGAGTCAAGCCTTCTGTGTAAGTACAGGGCTCGGAGGCTGGGATGAGGGGTCATGAGCGGCGTGTGCTGTGGGGGCCCTGGGCCTGGCTGCGAGTCCACACACGTGTGGGTGTGTGAAGTGGAAGCTAAGGGAGGCGACAGAGGCACCACCTCCCCTCTGGGGAGGTCTGTGGGACGCGGGCGGGGAGCGCGGGCCTCGCGCAGTACCGGATTCCTGGATCTTAGTCCTGGTGGTGGTGGCAGGAGGACTCTCCGTGGTGGTGGCGACGGTGGTTGTAGTAGTTGTGGCGACAGTGGTGGTGGTGGCGATGGTGGTAGGTGCGGCGGTTGGGACGGTGGGGGCTTCTGTGGCTTCGGTGGTGGTGCCAATGGCAGTAGCGTCAGTACTGCTCACGGCGCCCGTGGCACCCGCAGTAGTCGGGGGCAACGTGGGAGGAGCTGGGGGGGAAATGTAAAACAGCCGAGTCCAGTTGGTTTGGTTGGGCGGGCCCCGGACACACATGTGGCTGCGTGCACGGCGGTGGCTGGTGAGGTGATGGGGTTGGGTGACCAGAAGCCTCCACAAGCAAACGGAGTGGCTCAGACGGATCGCAGTGAAGGAAACACAACCATGGCAGGGGAAGAGAATGAAGCTCGCTGTGTGTTTCATTTTCTTCTCATGGTCTGCGTGGCTCCAAGCAGCCGGCATGCACCCAGCCAAGGGGAGGATGAGGATGAGAGGGGAACACACGCCGAACACCGCAGACCCCCAGGGACACGTGGGGCCCCAGGCTGCGTGCCCCCCAGACTCAGGCTCAAGCAGCACCAGTTGGGTCCAGCCCTGTAGCTCCAGCCTCACAAAGTGGGCAAGTGGCAGGGCCCTGTCCTTCCGGGGCACAGAGCAGCCGCCATTCCCAACCCTGCTCTCAGAATCACCCTGTGCCATCGCTGTGTGGCTTCAAGGAGCCCCCCACACCCTGCACCAGATACAGGACGTGCCCCAGCCTGCCAGGCCCCCAGCACCAGCTCTTGCTTAAGCTCTGGCCCCCACCTTCTACCTTTCCTCTCCCCCTCCCTTCTCTGCCCTTGGTGGTCCTTCCTGCAATGGTTCCAGCGCCCCCAGATGCCCACTGGCGTGGTGCAGGTGCTCCATGTACTTCCTGTTCAGGTAGGGATGTGGGAGAGGGCAGTGACCACAGCATGGCCTGTGCTCACAGCACCATGCTCCCAGCCCACAGGCAGACACAGAAACCCCAGGCCATCTGGGAAAGCAGTGGAAGATGGCCCACGTCCTGGGGCCCCTGAACCTGCATGGGTGACCTGGAGGAAGCTCCTGGCTCCTGGCTTCAGATCGGCCCAGCTCCAGCCATTGTGGCCATTTGGCGAGTGAACCAGTGGATGGAAGACCTCTCTCTGTCTCTGCCTCTGCCTCTGCCTCTCTATCTTCTACCTCTGCCTTCCAAATAAATAAATAAATCTTAAAAAGAGAAAAAGAAACCCCAGGCCATGAGCCAGATACATGCGGGGTGTCTGTGTGCAGACCTCCAGCTGGGGCACAGGGGACTGAGGTCCAGGTGACTCTCCCACAGCCCCCACCTCTCATCCGAAGCCACCTCTGACACAGGTCAGTCCTAGGGACCCAGTCTCTGGAGACAACACTTTTCAAGGCCTCCTGTCCTGCAGGACATGGACGCTAAGAGAGGGCTGGCTGCCCTGCCCTGACTCTCACAGAGCCTGTATCTGCGGCAGCTGAGAGTGAGAGGAGAGAGAGGTGCCAAGTGTGAGAGGGTGACTCCTCCTCCTCGTGCTCCATCTCCTGGGATCTGGCTGTGATGGGTCCACTGTCTACTACAGACCCCGATGGGGCACCAAGGGGGCCCTTAGATACAGGCAGGTAACGTCTCGCCTCAAGCCTCCAGCAGTTTTGCAAACGGTCCTGCTGGCTGTCTCCCCTGCGGAAGGCGGACGGGCGGGCAGCCAGGGAGAACCACGGGAGCTCTTCTCAGGGCAGAACAAGCCTGACCAACAACCTGGGTTTCCAACGTTACACACCCCACCTAGAGAAGGAAGGACTGTCCCCGGGGCCCCCCTGGCTGCCCTGCTTGTGAGATCTAAAGCGTGACTGGGCCCCGAAGTCTCTCCGGGCAGCCTTAATGGTCCAGAGGTGCCTGAGCAAGTTCCAAGCCGACGAGTGACCAACCCAGCCCTGCACAAGGGAATTCCCCTCCTCCACTCCTCACAGCAAGACCCACAGCCAGGGAGGCCCCGAGGCGAGGACGAGCTCCGTCCCAGACCTGGACACACACCGGCCCGCCCCATGGCTCTGCACTCCATCTGGGAGGACCACCCCGATTCAATTCCTTATCATGGCTTATTTTCTAACCGCTTCCGGCAAACAAACTGCATGCGGCCCCTGTCCACGACTGCGTAAAAGACGTCACTAGGGCTCATTTCCTCTGAACTTGAACCACCGCACTGCACGGCACCCCTCCCGGCAGGTCCCACGCTCACGCCATCTCCCAGGCCCCTGTTGCCAAGGCAGCCTTCCCGAAGCTGCACACACTGTCACGTGGCTCCTCGGGCCTCGTGCAGGCAGAGATGTCCCCGCCACACTCTCAGGGGCACACGTGCTTCCCAGGGTGCTCTGGTGAGCAGAGCTCTGAGTCTGTCTCCTCCGACGGTCACTTCCGCCACAATGGTGACCCGGCTGTGCTCCCCCTCCCTCCCACACAGCCTCAGGGCAGTGGTGAGAGGGATGGGGCAGAGGACAGCCTCCCACAGTGCCTGGCGTGTGTCACTCTGGAGGACGTCACCTCCATCTGACCCATTCATGAGCTGCATCGTTGTCCCAAGGCTGGACAGTGAGAGCAGAGGCAAGGAGAGCAGGCTCTGTGGAAGGCCCGGGACACTGTGGCAGGTGAGCGGCCAGGACTGGCACAGGTGGCAAAGGGCAGACGTGGTGAGACGGGCTCAGGGCCAAGGGGCTCAAGCTGTTTCCAGCCCTGCAGCCGAGCAGGGAGACAGGAGAGAGGCTTCGAGGCCAGAAGTGGGGCAGGGCTGCTGGTTGGGTGGGGCTGCCCCTTTGGGCGACATCAAGCGCTGCAGGTGTGCAAACAGTCCCAACAGGCGCTCAGCAGAGTCTACTGGCGATCAAGAGGAGGCGGCAGGGACCCCCGCGTGGGCAGCACAGGACCCCACCCAAACAGAAGACAGTGTCAACTTCATGGCTTGCCCTACTGTACCCCAAAAGGCACCCTGCTCAGGCCTGAGAATTTGCCTGGGTTTTGGGGAGCATTTGTAGATGGTGACAGGTCTCACTCATCCCTCTGGAGCGAGCACCGATCAGGAGCCCAGCCATTTGCCAATCCGAGCTGAGTCGAAGACAAGCGTGGCAGTTTGCAGACATTCCAAGGGGGAATGTTGAGTCCAAAAATGTCCACATGGCACACGGACTAGCCTGGCCAAACCGCAGATGGCCAGGCAGATGGGCAGTGGTCCTAAGAGGCTGCAGATACAGGTGGATGGGAGGGATTATCTCCACTGCCTGAGCCACCAACAGATCGGCTCGGGGGGAGAAGCGCCCAGGTTTGGAGAGGAGAGGCAAGGGGCTGACGGGCTGGGTGCCAGGCCCACGTCAAGAACGCAGAACCTGAGCTGTGCGGCTTGGCACCTGCGCCTGTGCAGAAGGCCCGTCCGTGTGTGAGCCGAGCGCGGCAGATGAAATCAGCGCATCTCATTGGCAAAGATGTGCCAGCGGCCTCGAGGACCGTGCCACGCGCGTGCCGGAGCCCAGGAAACCATCTGACAGACGGACGGACGCTCGGCTTGTTCTACAGACACGTGATGGCCTGGATCTTTCCTAAATGGGATGCTGGAAGTGGGGTGTGCGGAATGGCACCCCTCCCCCCCTTGCACACTGCCACTCCTGAGAGGGGCAGCGCAGACAGGCTGAGACGCCCCCTGCACAAGGCAGGCTCCCTGCTGCTGGGTCTACCTGCCTTGGGTCCTGCCAGGAGCGGGGAGGGAGATGGATGGGGAGCGGCTTTGCCAATGAGCATCTCACCCAGTGCCCTACCTGCCCCTTGCCTTGTGCTGCCCGAGCACCTGCTACAGCCGTCACGGGGAGAGAGACCCACGTAAGCTTCCATCAGGAGGCCTGGGACACCCCCACGTGGTAAGCACAGCTCTGCCCCTGGTCCCCAGGGCCCAGGGCCACCTCTGGGCCTCACACGTCAGCAGCGGGCTTCAGACCCTGTGGGGAGGCACGAGGCTCGGCTGCACTGGGTTCCTGGGGTGCGGGTGGTGGGGAGGGAGGGGGAGGGCCGAAGTCTGCCCACCACTCCCAGGTCTGACAAAACACTGGCAAACTGAAGGAAGCAGGGTGTGCAACGGAAACAGAACCAACCTAGAAGGGGCGGGGGAGCCAGGCTGGGGAGGAAACCAAACGGAGTGAAATTCCTAGGCCAAGCCCTGGACCCTGGCCTGGTTCAGCTCTGCCCCAGCTGCCCAGAGCTGAAGGCTACTCTGCCACTAGGTCCTTGCTCACAGCCTAAATGGTGCTGCCAGCGAGTCCTGCTCTCATCTCCCATCTGCGGCTCAGGGGCGTCCCTGCCCAGTGTCCCCAACGTGGGGACAGGCCTCCTATGCCTGCACCTGCCTGCCCAGCTCCTGGGTCCTGCTGTGATCTCCCTCCCAGCCCCGAGAGCAGAGACGGTTCTCAAGGCTGCAGACTTGGAGGTGAGGGAACCATCAGCCCCCAGCGCCCACTGATCCTGGAGCCCCTGGCCCCCTGGAGGACATGCCCGCTCATTCTCACCGATCAGCTCCCTAGGCGGCTGCCAAAGCCGGGGCCGGGCCCCCATGCAGCATGCAAAGCCAGCATGCACAGCGCTCACCCTCTCGGGGCCAGCAGCCTGCCCAGGAGCCACCGCCTCCCGCCCAAGGGCTCCGGACACTCTCCGAGCTGTCAGGCCTGGGCAGGCGGTTCCCAGGAAGCACCCGCCGAGCTTCAAAGTTGCAGCTCTGGAGAGCAGGTCAGGAGCCCTGAGCGTGGGGCCGCCTCCACACCGTCCTCTTCAGTAGGCGGCAAACACCAAGGGGAGGGCCGGCCTCGCCTCACTCTCCGGGTCCCAGGCTCCGTGTGGCCTGGCTAAGGAGCCCTGAAAGGGTGAGGCTGGAGCAGGCTGCAGCCCGAGCCGCTCCCTCCGCCTCTGCCTGGGCTTCACCTGCGTCGCCCCATGCCATGCCCGTTACCTCGCCACCAGTACGGTACCTGCCGTTGGAGTAGCTTCAGACCACAGCACCCAGCATGGCCACAGAGAAGAGGAAAGGATGGGAGAGGAGAGAGAAAAGAGAGCACAGGTGAAACCATGGGGCCGGCAAGCAGAGAAGGGGCCAGCTCGGACCCAACCCAGAGCGGGGGCTGCCCTGAGGACGCCCCAGACCCGACCCAGAGCGGGGGCTGCCCTGAGGACGCCCCAGACCCGACCCAGAGCGGGGGCTGCCCTGAGGACGCCCCAGACCCGACCCAGAGCGGGGGCTGCCCTGAGGACGCCCCAGACCCGACCCAGAGCGGGGGCTGCCCTGAGGACGCCCCAGACCCGACCCAGAGTAGGGGCTGCCCTGAGGATGCCCCAGACCCGACCCAGAGCAGGGGCTGCCCTGAGGACGCCCCTCAGCGTGCATGTGGGGGGTCACGCCTGTTCCTAAAAACCTGCCCCCTGGGGCCGGCACCGTGGCGCAGTGGGTTAAGCTGCACCTGTGACACTGGCATCCTATCTCAGAGCACTGGTTTGAGCCCTGGCTGCTCCACTTCCGATGCAGCTCCCTGCTAATGCACCTGGGAAGGCAGTGCCAAGATGGGCCATGTGCTTGGGTCCCTGCCACCTACCTGGGAGACCCGGATGGAGTTCCAGGCTCCTAACTTTGGCCTGGCCCAGCCCTGGCCATTGCGGCCATCTGGGGAGTAAACCAGCAGATCTCTGTCACTTTGCCTTACATATAAATAAGATGTTTTTTAAAAAACCTTTCTGCTTGTTTCTGCCTCTATGTAAGGACTAAGAGGTAGCAGCCCTGACACCTGCAACTCTCTCCCCAAGGGTGACCCGGCCCCTTACGGAGGTTGGGGAAGCTCCCTGATACCAGGAGTGGGGGTGTCTCCACACCATCCCAGCTGAGGGATGGTTCCTGGGTCTTTGGGGCAAGACGCTGGCAGCCTGGGGGTGGGGGAGTGTGTTCAGCACCCCCCAGCATGCCAGCCCTGCCAGGCCAGGGCCACTGAAGCCCCTGGTCTGGCGTCCTACTGACCCAACTCCTTCCCACCACTTGGACTCCAGGGACTGAAAACCTGCAGTGTGGACGGAAGCCCCAGAGGAACTCCCGAATTCCCTGCCAATCTTGAAGCAGAAAAGAGGTCTCTCTCTGTTCCCTCGGCCGCTGCAGGACTGCCCTGTGGTGGCCGCGGGCACCAGACAACGAGGCTCTGTTTCTCTCTGCACTGGCTGGAGGCGGGGAGGGGATGAGGCCGTCTTCATGTTTGCACTGATGGAACCCAGGGCGCGGCGTGGCCTGGCTGGCCTTTGTCAACAGCCGACGTCAGTCACTTGCCTGCAGCCCCAGCCCCACTAAACCTCCCGAGGGCCAGGGAGAGGGAGCTCCCAGGATCAGAGAGGAGGCTGGCCTTGCTCCAGTTCCTGTCTAGGAGCTGGGTGTGGGAAGCACAGGTGCTCTCTGGGGTGGGGGTGGGGGTGGGGGTGGGGGAGGCACAGGAGACCCCCTCTGGGTCAAGGTCAATCCCCGACCCTGAGCCTGCCAGGGGAAGCGGTGGACAGGGAAGCTCGCCATGGTCCTCAGGCTGCCCCCTTATGCCCTTTCTTCTGGGGTCTTTCCTTGTGGAACTCCCTGACCCCAGACCTCCCCTCCCACACTGTGCTGGCTTCTCACTAGCTCTGTGGCACGTGGATGGCGCTATGCACTTGAGGGTGTGGAAGGGGCCCCTGAACAGGTCACAGGGCCTCAGGAGAGGCAGAGGCCTGCCTTCCCACTGGGTGTCCCAGAGGGCCCTGAACTGCCATCGCTGAAGCCAGCACAGCGTGGCTGAGCCCAGAGTGCCCTCAGGTGGTGTCCTCAGGCAGGTGCAGCTCTCGCAGGGGCTGCTGTTGGTGGCCTGGTGACTCAGCCATTTCAGGCTTGCAAGGAGGCCAGGCAAGTGGCTTCCATCACGCTGTTTCCCCTGCCTGTCCCTGGGGAAGGCGGGCCGTCGTGGAGCCCTCTGGAGCACCCCTCGCCTCCCTCGACAGACAGGGGGCTATCCATTTACTTCCCTGGCGCTTCCTCCTCTCTCGGTTAATGCTTGCTCTCTTCTGGTCTCCACCAGTGGAAGGAAAGAGGACAATGACCATGTAGGTCAAGGCCAAGTATGGGCTCACATCTGACAACTCTCTGGAGACCTGTCTCGCAGACCCAGGCCAGCACCTACCTCTCTGCACAGACACGGTTCTCTCCTGCACAGGGCCTGAAGACTCCGTCCCTCTCCTCCCCTGGAGGCCAGAAAGCCCGGCCCGGCTCTCAGCATTTCCCTAGGCGTTGGAAGAGCTGGCACCTTTCACCCCAGGGGCTGTGCCGTGTGCCTACCTTCGTTAGGGGGTGCAGGTGACTCCTCTGTGACTGCTTCCCCAGAGCCCACCTGCGTCCTGGCGCTGAGCGTGAAACGGTAACGTGACACGGGATCCGCCCTCTGCACCGTGAACTTGGTCTGATTCGGAGAGAAGTTTTCCACTATCTGCTTCCCCAGTTTGGTTCCGTTAACTGGGGAGAGACAGGTGAGGGGGTTGGAACATCAGCAGTGCTTACCGCATGGGTTACACAACCTGCAGCTGGAAGCCACGGTTCTGACGGTGCTGGGCAGGGAACCGGCGCACCTGCCCGGTAGCCTTAAAGTCTTGGTTCAAAGCTTAGCACGCTGGGCAAGAACCCCCTCCCACCAGGATCAAGGTCTCCACGCACCGCACGGTCTCCAGCTCACTGCAAGGCTGTGCGGCTGACGCTGGAAGATTCCGTTTATAGTTCCCAAGGCCTTTCAACAAGGACACATCTCGAGTTCTTTCCTTCTTTTCAAACAGAACTAGGCCAAAATCACTGGGCCTTTTGATGCTCATGGCTTGTTTAATATACCACAAAGGGTAAAGAGGTCAGGCCAAGTGATGGAGTCAGCCCGGCACACAAGCACCAGGCTGGCTACGGCCCCACCCCGGCCTCCGCACCTGCCAGTGTGCAGTGCCACTGCCTGCCACAAGGTGGCGCCAAGCACCTGAGGCAGGTGCCTGGCTCAGGATGTTTTTAAAAATGTGTCTGTATATGGTGGTTTTTAACAAAGGATTTACTTACTTGAAATGCAGTGAGAGAAAGAGAACCTTTCATTCACTGGTTCCCTCCCCAAATGCCTACAGAATTGGGGGCTGGCCAGGCTGAAGCAGGAGTTTCTGCCACTCCCTGTGGGTGGCAGGAACCCAAGCACCTGGGCCATGCTTAGCTACCTCCCAGGCACATTAGCAGGAAGCTGGGTTGGAAACAGAGCAGCCGGACTTGATCCCAGGCACACTGACAAGGGAGACGGGCATCCCACGTGGCAGCTTAGCTCCCTGTGCCAGGCCCACCCAGCCTTCCGATCCGGGTCATTTCACAGTCGCTCGCAGCAGCCTTACTGAAATGATACTTTTGGGGGCCCAGTGTTCTGGTGCGGCAGGCTAAGCCGCTGCACTCCACATCAGAGTGTAGGTTTGTGAGTCCTGGCTAATATGCTTCTGATTCAGCTCCCCAGTAATGAGTCCTGGAAAGCAGTGGATGACAGCTCAGGTCCGTGGGCCCCTGCCACCCACGTGGGCGATCACAATGGGGTTCCCGGCTCTTGGCTTCAGCACGGCCCAGCCCGGGCTGTTGTAGCCATTTGGAATGAACCAGGGGATGGAAGCACATTCTCTCTCTCTCTCTTCCTGTCACCTTTCAAATAAAGAAATAAATTTTTTTGAAGAAATGACACCTGTTAAGGTGTCTCCTGGTGTGGGTTCCTGTGCAGGTACTGCCCGCCCCCTGATGGGAGTGCCGTTAGGTTAGGAACTTTCTCTCCCAGACCAGTACAAAGGGACTTGGAACGGTTCATGTAAAGGAAGTGAAAAGCGAAGTTTATGCTGGTGCAAAAACATCTGAAACGCATACACGTCAGTGGCCACCAGAAAGCTGGTGGATTTTGCAAATGTTGAAAAATGATGCATGGAACCACAGGTAGGCAAGTGTGGGCTGGGCAGCGTCCCGCATTAGACAGGAGCCCCCTTGGCCTCGCCGCCAGCCTAGCTCCCTGCAGGCAACACTGTCGGGGGGGCCTCAGCCATCTCCCCAAGTCCTGGGGAGCCTCCCCTGGCCCCTGCCCCTCCAAAACGCCCTCTGTGCTGTGGGCTTTGTGCCTCGGTCCTGTCGTACGAGCAAAGGGAACAGGTCTGACCCCCAGACTACATAGGACCCAGGGCGGGGCGGCACGCACAGGGCAGGTATTTGAGTGTGTATCCAACCAGGATGCCGTTGGGGTGCTCCGGGTGGTCCCACTCCAGGTTGATTGTCTCCAGGTTGGGCTGCCGGACTCGGAAACGTCTGGGGGCGCTGGGAACTTGGGGGAGGTGGGGAGGGGAGGAGAGGAGAGGAGAGGAGAGACAGAAAACAAAGCACAGGTGTGAGAGACGGGACCTCCGGGCAGCCCCCATGCCAGGAGCCGCCAGCCCAGAACCTGGCAGAGTCCCTGGGGGGCCACAGCTGCTGCCCCAGACACAGTGTCATTGTGCCCAGGGTCAGACTCTGCTGCTTACGAGGGGAGAAGCAAACCCAGTTCTTTAGTGGCTGCCCAGGATTCAGCCCGCCAGGCTTTGCTCCTGCAGACGCCTCCCACGTTAGCAGAGCCACTCCTGGCTGCTCCGAGAGAGGCCCTGGACCCTGGCCCCCACACGGACCTACACCAGGGGCCCAGGCGCCTGGGCTGAGAATGCAAGGTTCAAGGGAGAGGAGAAGAAACCCAGGAGGGAATGCCCGGGGAGGACAGGCAGGGCGGGGGCCGTGGGGAGAGCGCACAACAGAAACCAGATAGGGAGGAAGACAGGGAGAGGGAAGGCCAGAGGAGAGGAGGGAGGAAGGAAAATGGGGGGCAGGGGGAGAAACGAGAGGGCAAAGTTGGCCAGAGTGGGAGGAAGCCTGGGGCACCCCAGGAACCTCGCGGGCGCCTGCACCCTGGCCTGGTGCACACCAGGAACCTCGCGGGCGCCTGCACCCTGGCCTGGTGCACACCAGGAACCTCGCGGGCGCCTGCACCCCAGCCTGGGCAGCTCCAAGGGGAGCCCCCATATCCTGCACAGGCGTCTCCACGAAAGCTGCCGGCCACGACCGCGGAGGCCTAAGGCTCTGCTCAACAGATCTGTGGCTCCCACCGCACCCCTGGGCGTCCGTCCGTGGTGAAGTCAGCAGTTGGCGCCGCTCACTCCTGTCGGGCAGGGCACCTGGGCCGCGGGCGCGCAGCCTGTGGGTCCTCGGCTTCGGCGCCGGGGTCACACCTACCTCCCTCCGGGGTGGTGAACTCCTTGGTCTCACTGCGAGGCCCATCGCCTCTGCCATTGACCACCACCATCTCCAGCTTGTAGTTGCTGTAGGGGAAGAGTTGGGACACCACGCCCCGGGGGCGGTCCCCGGGGAAGCTGGCTTGCTGTCTCTTCTGAGACACCCACAGGTTCTTCAGCAAGCTGCTCTCCCTCCAGTAGTAGGCCTTTGGGACAGAGGCAGGCTGGTGAGGGGCCGGCAGCCGAGCCGGGTTAGCCGTTAGTGGTGGTGGCGGTACCCGCGCGTCCCTGGGCTTGCCACAGGCTCCGAGCGCCAGGCGGCAGGGCGATGCCCCGTCTTTGGGAACACGCGAGTGACATCTGGGCCGCTCTGGCAGGAGACTGGTTTCCGAGCTGGGTAGCAGGTTGCCCAGACTCTGTGCCAGAACCACGAGGACGGGCCGGGCTCCCAGGCCACGCCCCCTCGGGCGGGATTAGTAGGGTTTAGGTGGGTGGCAGGCAGGAGGCGGGTGTCTGACGTGAGACAGGGCGGCTTTCATCCTTCGAGGTCAAGCGGTTTCCTTTCACTCTGTTGGCAGACCTTGAAGGATGGGGTCCAGGGATGGACACGCGCCCGAGCCAGTGGGGTGCCAGGCTGTGTGGTGGCAGAGCGAGGATGGGACAGCGGTGTCACAGGGCACCACGGCGTGAGTGGGCAGTGTGAGGTCCGGTTAGCAGTGGGTGGGAGGCCCCAGGTCAGGCTGCCACACCAGCGTCACCCAGGCCACCCACGGCAAAGTCAGGAGTCCAGCTTTAGAGGGAGCCTCGATGGGAGCTTTAGCCAGAAACACCTCCAGGCAAGGTCAAGGGTGCAGGTCACAGCCAGGCGAACGCACTGCTGTCCCTCCCCCTAACTCCCCGCTCTGTTCTGCCCACACCAGTCTTCAGCCAACTCTTGGCACCCTCGGAAGTCCTAGGCCCGGGCCACAGCCTCCTTCCCGGGCAGCCGCGTTCCCACACAGCTGCTCCGTGGCTTCCTCTTTGCTGGGCTGCAGGCCCCTTGGGCACCTGTGTTTTGTCCTCCCCTCTTCCTGCCTCTGCTCCCCCTTGTCTTTACAGAGACAGCAGAGAGTTCAGCTCAGCAGAGAGGCTGAGCAGAAAACTGCCCAAGGGCGGGGAGGAGGGGCCCAGGGCCCGAGTGCCCCAGAGTTGGCTGTGGCGACAGGGAGGGCGTGCACACCTTCCGGGGGCTTTGCCTGTCAGTGGTGGTGGCTTTGTGAGACTGCGCAGGGTTGGGGGGCAGCGGCCCAGAAGGGGCTGTAGGATGGGGGAGGCGGGGGGAGGGGAGGAGGAGTCGCCGAGCGGTGCCCGAGATGGGTGTGTGTGCACGCGCACTGTGCCGTGTCACCCAACCTGGAGCCCTCCACATGCTTCCCGCAGTGCACAGCCCCTCGGTCACAGGACACGGGGTCTACACTGCTTCCGGGCCCTCCGGATCCCAGAGGGGGCGTGGATGCTCAGGTCCCTTAGAGAAAGGGCGTGGCATCTGCTTTCACCCAGCACCCCTTCCTGCCCACTTTGCATCAGCTCTGGGTTACTGCTGACACCGCACGCGACGCAGGTGCCGGGCAGACAGTCACTATGCTGAAAGACTAGAAAAGTCACCTGAGTGTGTTTGCACACACGCTTTCTTCCCCCTGAATGTTTTCAATCGGAGATTGGCCGTGCCTGTTGGTGTGGGAGCCACAGACACAGCGGCCCAACTAGGTGTGTATGTACACACACACACACACACACACACACCTTCTTCGGGGTGTGTTTTTGCACTGCTACCCTTCCTGAATTAGCTCATTATGTAGCAACTACCCCCAGGCCCCCCGGGAACCTCTGCGGCCCGGTCTGCTCCTCCGACCCTGGTTAGTGAGCTGGGCAGTTAGGCGGGGTCGGGAGCTGGCTTCCTCACTCGGTACTCTCTGAGCTGGCCCTGCACCGTGTCCGAGTAGACACGGTTCCACTGCAGGCTGATGGCTGTGCTGTTCATGACTCGGACCTTGACGTCGGTGGGTGCAGCCCGGGGATCTGCAAGGCGTTGGCACAGAGAGCTGGTTATGTAGCAGGGCTGCCCCTGCCCCAGGCCTCCCCTCCACTGCGCGCTGGGTCCTCCCTCAGGCTGTACTTGGGGGGAGTGGCGGAAGGCGCGGTCCAGGAGTGGGGATTCCCCCTACACGCTCTGGGCGTGATGACGAGAGTCGCGTACTTGTCAGGTACAGCCCTCCTGGCCCCACCCTTCCCCACGCCCACAGTGACCTGGGAGGGCTGTTCCCTTGTCTCAGGCTTCCAGCTGGGCCTGACCAGCAGCAGGTGCCAACAAGAGTCCCCAGGGCAGGAGGACGGGGAGGGTGGGTGTCAGCTCCCCTGGCTCTTCCGTGAGAGGCTACAGGCCCCCAGCATCGCACTCTTCCACCCAAGGCCACAGCTGGGGGTGGAGTCGTGGTGACTCGTCCGTCCCCTGCTCCACCAAGGCTCAGGGTGGCGCCACGGCTTCCTGCTGCTGCTGGCCGCGAGGCGGCTCTCGGGCGGGCCCTGCCGCTGGCTCTCTATGTGCCGTGCATCTGCTCTCTGCCCGCGGGAAACCCACGGACGAACTGCCTGAGCCAGTTCAGAAGGGCTCCCGTCTCACGGCTCCCTGGAACTCCCTGGACTCCTCCTGCCTCATTCCTGCCCAGTCTGAGCCCACCCGCTGACCCCTCACCGCACAGGTGGCCGGGCAGGCAGGTGTAAGGGAAACTGGTGGTGCGTGAGCCGGCACCACGCTCCCCATCCAGAATCCCCGGTGGGCTCCCATCCCGAAGTGGCTGCTGCTGTGGAGATGAGGGAGGGCCTGGGACCCGCCCTGCTCTTCTCCCCTGTGGGTCAGCCCATAATCACCTCCAGGATTCCACCTCCCTGCCCTCCAGCTCCCCGAGGGGAGACTGCTGACCTCTGGACCCTGCACTGCCCCTGAGGTCACCCGTCCCCAGGGCTCGCCTCACTCCTTCTTCTGCCCCCCGCCACCTTCCATGGCTGCTTCTTAGATCAAACCCAGGGCCAGCAGGGCAGGGGTCACCCTGAGCCAGGAGGGGACCCCATGGATGCGCCTGCTTTTCTCAGGAGCCTGGAGCACTGAGGTGCCGGGGACAGAGCCCGCCACCTCCAGGAAGCCGGGCACATCTGTCTTCACACACTTCCAGAATCTTGCTGGTTTGCCTGGTGCCAGCTTCCTTTTGAGGGCCAATTTCAAGGGCTTGGGCAGCACTAGCAATGCTGGCGGCGGCTGGCCTGCGTCCCTCAGGACTTCCCCTGGAAGGGGAACCCAGGGGCAGGGCTCGCAGGGGAGGGGCGGTCCCCAAATCTCCCTCAAGCTTGCCTGGTTGGGCGGTGCTGTCGCCTGCCCATGGATCCGAAGACCCAGGTCCTGCTTCTGAGCCTGGCATCTGCTAGTCTATGACACTGGCCAGGGCTGCTTCTTTTGGGGTCTCAGTTTCCATGTCTGTGCGACGTCAGCAGTGGCTGAGCAACGTGGCACGGTGGCTCTAACCCGGATTCATTCCTGGCATCGGCAGCTGGGGCGTCTCTCCCTCCTGGGAGTGGGCTGCCTTCCCACCACCCCCCTCCAGGTTTCTGGCCCACGAGTGGCTGAGGGGCCCGGCCAGGGCCGAGGGGAGGGTACTCACAGTCCTCCCCGGAGTAACCGATGACCGTCTCTGGCTCGGGGGCCTTCCCAAAGTCATTTTCGGCCTGCACTCGGATCTCGTAGGGCACATAGACCGGGGTCTGCCCCACCACGTAGCGAGAGCCCCACACGGTGGCGTTGTTCCAGGCGTCGCGAGTCTCTCTCCGCCGCCACTTCACGATGTAGCGCAGGTTGGGGCCAAAGGCGGAGGTGGCGTTCATGGGCTGTGCGGGGCGACAGACAGACAGATACAGACAGACGGACAGAGAGGGTGGAGAAGGTGCCTCCAGCCACGACATGCTGGCCAGCCCCCTTCCCTGCTGAGTGCCCCCTGCCAAGTCCAGAGCCCCGTGAATTTGGCAGAGTGTAGATTTCCTGTGACGAAATCTTCCACGGGACTTAGTCACTCAGACCCCAAGAACCACCCACATTTGCAGATGCAAAGGGAGCAGCGCTTTTATTTGCAACGGAACTCTTCCTGTGCCGGGGCCACACTAAAACCAGGCTCGGGCAAGGACGGCGGAATCTTCTCCAAAGCCAGAGAGCACAAGTCTGGGCAGAGCCACAGCGTCCCTGCTGCCAGTGGACTCAAACTTCCAGAGCTGACCGGATTCTGCCAAGCCCACATGTGTCCATCCCGCCCCCCGACAGGGCTCCCTAAGGGTGGGCGTGGTCCCATCCCTTCCCTAAGGCGGCGGGGGGGGCAGGATGCGGTCCTGGGAGCCTGCAGGGCAGGTGTCTGAGTCCAGGCCCACAGGAAGCCAGGGGTGGGCAGGCACCCGAGGGCTGCATCTCCTTGCTCCTGTCACGCCTGACAGCAGCTCGGAAGCGTGACTGTGGCCAGGTTTGCCTCGCTCGGACTTGGACATGGTTTGGAAACACATGTCATTTGAGACCACCCCTTCCAGCTTGGGTTTGGGAAATGCAGCCAGTGAGCCAGGACAAAGACGGGATTCTACACCTGTCCTGGAGGGAGACTTCTGCGCCCCGCACCGCATTCCCTGGCTACAAGGGAGGAGCAGGCCAGGCAGGTCTCAGAGGCGGAGCCCCTGGATCCGGTCCCGCAGCCTGGCCCGAAGCCCGTTTTGCTTCGCTGGCGCCCTTTCCGACCTCTGCTACACTGGCAGTCTATGGCACGGCTGCTTCTGTGTCCTCGCCCCCGTCTGGTTCCTAGACACCTGCCCTGTGTGCTTCCCGGCTGTCCAGCTGGAGAGAGGAGCCTGGCTTCTCAGAGAAGAGTGAGCGCCCAAGCCAGTGGACAGCCTGGACCACTGGGTGGCCTCGGGGTCTCGGGGTGCAGGGGCAGAGGGCGGCCAGCTGCAAGGCCCGGGGGTGGGGGACTCACCGTCCACGTGATCTCCATGTTGTTCTTCCTGGTCCCCTCTCCCTTCACGTCACCGGGGTTGGACTCAGGGGCTGGAACCCAAACCGATGCAAAGTTCAAGTCCAATTCATGTCTTTCCAGAACACAGCAGGCAACCCACCGCCCTCCCGGCTGACGGGTCTACTCTGCCTCCTCTCAGCATCTACACACACGCTCTGTCCCAAGTATGGTTCAACTCCCTCCTCAATCACCTTTCTCACTAGAACTTGCTTCTTTCTTTTTTTTTTTTTTTTTTTTTTTTTTTTTTTGACAGGCAGAGTGGACAGTGAGAGAGAGAGACAGAGACAAAGGTCTTCCTTTGCCGTTGGTTCACCCTTCAATGGCTGCTGCGGCCAGCGCACTGCGACCAGTGCACCGCGCTGATCCGATGGCAGGAGCCAGGTGCTTCTCCTGGTCTCCCATGGGGTGCAGGGCCCAAGGACTTGGGCCATCCTCCACTGCACTCCCAGGCCATAGCAGAGAGCTGGCCTGGAAGAGGGGCAACCGGGACAGAATCCGGCGCCCGACCGGGACTAGAAGCCGGTGTGCCGGCGCCGCAAGGCGGAGGATTAGCCTAGTGAGCTGTGGCGCCGGCCGGAACTTGCTTCTTTTTTAAAAGATGAATTTGAAAGATGAGTTAGAGAGAGAGAGGAGAATCCTCCATCTGCTGGTTCACTCTCCACAATGTCAGCAATGGCCTGGGCTGAGCCAGGCTGCAGCCAGGAGACAGGAATTCTCTCCTGGTCTCCCACATGAGTGACAGGGGCTCAAGCACTTGGGCCCTCCTCTGGTGCTTTCTCAGGCACATTAGCAGGGAGCTGGATCGGAAGCGGAGCCCCGGGACATAAACTGGTGCTCATACGGGATCTGGTGTTGCAGGTGGTGGCTTAGCCTGCTGTGCCACAACACCAGCCCCGAGATTCAAAAGGAAGAGAGTCAGAGAGAGAGAGAGAGAGAGGAAGAGAGAGAGAGAGAGAAGGAAAGAGAGAGAGAGAGAAGGAAAGAGAGGGAGAGACAGAGAGAGCTCTCTTCCATCTGCTGGCTCATTCCCCAAATACCCACAACAGCCAGACCAAAGCTGGAGCCAGGTCTCCCGGTCTCCAACACAAGCGGCAGGGACCCAAGTGCTTGAGCCATGGCCATCCGCTGCCTCCCAGGGTGCACGTTAGCGGGAAGCTGGAGTTGGAAGTGGAGCCTCAGCTAAAACCCAGGGGCTCCCCTATGGGACGCGGGTGTCCCAAGCGCATCTTCACTGTCCAACCCCACCTCTCCAGCTAGGAGTTAACCCCCCAAAGCACAGCCGAGTTCTCTTCAGCTGAACTCCCTTGGCAGAGAGCGTCCATCACAAGGCTTTCCACGCTGAGGATGGCCGACAGGTGGACCACGCCTCCTGTCACTGTGTCTCAACTCAGACCGGCTCCTCCCTGGTGGTTAGTACCCAGGGGAACGTCTAGGAACTGGTGCACACCACCCAAGCTCACAAACTTGACGTGCTTGAGTTCTCATGTGAGACCCAGTCACTGAGCCCGCCACACATCCCCACGACCCCCCACCCCAGCAGACAACCAAGGATCAAGGCCACAGGTGACAAGAGGTACTGACCCCGCGACGCAGGGGTGGCCAGCACTCCTTGTGAGGAAGCTGCACCTTGGGGACAATGACCTGCCCACGTTCACGCGGCTTCCAGAACTTTCTCTGGGAGCCCTCGGGTACTCACGTGCCCCACTGGTTCGGTAGCGCTCTGACGGGAGGCTGGGGTGGCTGCTGCCGACCTCGTTGATGGCGATGACCCGGAACTGGTAGTTGACGTACGGGGACAGCTGCAGGACAGCCGAGTTGACATTGCCTGGGAACTTGGAATGGTCATGCCAGACCCCCGGCTGGAACTGGTCCTCTTCAAACTGGACTACGTAGTCTGAGTGGGCAAGGGAGACAGAGCAGCTGCGGGGGCTTCCGGCTCCAGCCCCTCCATGCCAGCGCCCTCAGCCGGTGACAGGGGCACAGGGCCAGCTCTTCCCCCTACACAGAAAGGAAACCTGGGCTCCAGGTGTCCCAGGGACCACGGTAGCGAGGCGGGGCCTGGAGCCAGGGCGGCTCCTCCCAGCCCTCTTTCCCGGCTCTGGGGCGCGGGACGCAGGCTGACCTGTGATGGGGCTGTTGTTGGCGTCCCCCGGGATCCAGGTCAGCCTCACGCTCCGCTCGGCCAGGTCGGTGAGCTCCAGGTCTCGGGGCCGGTCTGGCCGCCCTGGCAGCAGAGAGAGGACACGCCAGAGGAAGTCCTGAGCGAGGTGGCACTTCCTGAGCCAGTGCCCGCCCCGCACGGCCCCACCGGGCCCAGGTCTGCACTACAGCAGGGCCCGGCCCCTGGCAGGCTTGGGGGTTGGTGCGGGGACCCTGCCCTCTGGGGCCAAGGAAGAACAAAGAGGAGGCCCCACATTTCAACATCAAGCCAAAAAGAACATCAAAGGGTGGGAGGCAGGAGACAGGGCACGCGGGACAGGGGGAGAAGCAGTCGAGGGTGCGCGTCCCGAGGGTGTCGGACGAGCTGCCCAGGGATCCTGGACTTCTGTCTCCACTCTTGTGACAATCACCGCCCTCGGTGTGTGCCTGGGGGCAGGGCGGACAGGGAGGGCCAGGCCAGGCGAGTGTCAGCAGTGGGGGCGGTGCTCGGGAGCCCCAGCAGGCTTCCAAATGGGGGGGGGTAGCATCTTGCGGGCTCTAACCCCACTGGGATTGCTTTACAGGGCAGAGGGCCATCCCGGCCTAGGCATAAAGCCACATGGCCAGGGCCAGTGCTGTGGCATAGGGGGTAAAGCCACCACCTCCATATGGGCTCCAGTTCAAGTCCCAGCTGCTCCACTTCCAATCCCGCTCTCCGCTATGGCCTGGGAAAGCAGTGGAAGATGGCCCAAGTCCTTGGGCCCCTGCACCCGCGTGGGAGACCGGAGGAAGCTCCTCACTCCCGACTTCAGATCTGCGCAGGTCTGACCATTGCGGCCAGTTGGGGAGTGAACCAGCAGATGGAAGACCTTTCTCTCTGCCTTTCCTTCTCTCTCTGTGTAACTCTTTCAAATAAATAGATCTTAAAAAAAAAAAAAAGCCACATGGCCACTGGCTGGTGGGGGAGGGGGGACGGGAGGAAAGAGCTGTGCCGTCCTCCTGCTCCCTGAACCGGCTGTTCCCAGGTGGGTGACCAGAGGTACCTGGAGGACCAGCCCCGCACGTGTGTGAGCAGGTGCAGGGTGGACCCTGCGTGGACAGAGAGCAGACACGGTCAGGCTGCCCCAGGGGCGGCCGCCGATGATGGGGTGACCTGAGCATGGCTGGGGCCAGGCCGGGAGGGGACGGGCGCGGGGAAGGCATCCAGGCTCCACCTGGCTCCACCCGTAGCAGGGGCCGGGCACGCTGGCTCGGAGGGCGGACACGAGCACCCAGGCGGCCCTTCCACAGTGCCTTCCTCCTCCTGGAGCCCACCCCCGTGCCTGGCCATGATTAGTACAAATTACCTTTGGGCAGGGCAGCCAAACGGTTAGTTGGAGTGGCCTGATCAGCTGCAAAGGTAAGACGGGTTATCCAGGTTAGCAGGTTAGCAGGTTAGAAGGATCTGGAACGGGGGCCCCAGGTAGCCGGGACGAAGGCGGTCCAGGCCCTGCTTCCCCCTCCCTTCCACGGGCCCCGCCCTCACAGAGGCCTCCATGGCGCCTCCACGGCTGGGCAGGAGCTCCGCTTCCCTCCCGCCCTCATCCACACCACAGCCATCAGCCACGGCGCCTCCACTGCGAGGGGATGGGGGCAGGGGTGCAGTGCACCCGCACCTGACGGCGGCAGGTGTGGGGCAGAGGGCGGAGGAGGGGAGGGGCGGGAGGGGCTCTGCTTCCTTCCTGGGTCTGGGATGGCCTGGTGGGGCATCTGGCGGGGCAGGAGGACAGGCAGTGCCATCATCTGGCTCAGTGAGCAGAGAACTGGGAAATGGCACCAGAGTGGGGAGTGGGCAGGGGGGGGAGGGGAGGAAGGCCAGTAGGGTGGAGGGGTGTGTGTGGAGAGGAAGGGGGGATGGAGGGAGGGGACTGAAGCAGGATCCCAAACCTGCTGTGTGCAAACCCCCTGTGCTTTAACGCTGGGAGGGCTGAGCCGGCTCAGGGGTGCGGAGCCAGCCGTGAAGGAGGGACAGGCCTCCCTCCGCTGTCCCCATCACCAGGGTGCCCGGAAGCTGGGATGTGGGGGCGTCAGTGGCTCCAGCAGCGGCTCCAGCGCCGCCTGCTGGAAGAGGCAGCTTCCTGACCCTGAGGTCAAGGGGCCAGAGGTCTCCTCGCCGGGCCAGCCCCAGGGGCAGGTGCTGCCTGTGGGACGCCTGAGGCTGGAAGGGGGTCAGGGCCAGCGTGGGCTGCAGCAGTCACCTAGCACGGTGAGGTAGGCCTTGGCCAGGTCCTGGTCCAGCTCAGTGCTGGCGACGCACGTGTAACTGCCTTGGTCCTTCTCAGCCACCCCGAAGATGGTCAGCGAGTCATCCTCCTTCTTCATCCTGCGAAGGTGCGGTGGGGATGAGAGGAGGACGGCGGGTGGGGGCGGCTGGGGGGCGGGTGGGAGCAGGGCGCTGCTTTCTCCCGGGCAGGGGGCCGAGGCCAGTGCTGTGCTCTGAGACAGGCAGGGCCTTTACTGTCACCACAGGCACTTCCAGGCTTGAGGGGCGGAGCTCACGTGGCCTGGAGCTGTGTCCTGGCCCATGCCTGCCTCCGTGGCTTTCCTGGGCTCTGCGCTCCCTCCCCGCACCCCGCCCCAAACCAGGGCACCGCCAGGCAGGAGCAGATCGGGGCCTCTCCCCTGCCTCCCTCGTGCCTCTGCCCGTCTTCAGCCCAGTGGCTCCCCTCCGTCACCGGGCTCAGGGGAGCCTGTCCCAGGCCCCCTGGACTGTCCCCCAGGGGAGCAGGGTGAGCCGGTGACATCGCTGTGTGCAACAACGGAGGGCTGCCCACCCTAGCCACGCTCAGACATGGCTGGGAACTGCGGGAGCCCGGGCCCGACACCAGCCCCAGGACAGAGGCCGCTCCCAGGGGTTCTCAACCCTGCCTGCAGGCCAGGGCCTTTTACCTACTTTTAACACCTGGGTCCTAGTGTGGGGCGAGGGGTTCAGCAGCCAGCCTGGGGCCCAAAGCTAGCTGGAGTGGCCAACCCTGCCCTCTGCTGGAGAACACGAGTACTGCAAGCAGGGCTGCCAGCAGGGTACCTGGAGCAAGGGGCGCTGGGGGGCAGAGAGGGGAAGAGGGAACAGGTGTCCGGCACCAGCAGTGATGCCCCAGCACCAGACCTGTTGCTGATGTACAGCGGCTCCTCGTCCTTCAGCCAGGACACGGTGAGTTTCAGGGAGGGGTCGTGTTTCACACGGCACTCCAGCTGCACCGTGGTGCCCCTTTTGGCCACCTGGTCCTCTGGCATCCGGTAGATCCTGGTGGGGTCTGCAGAAAGCCCAAGGAGCTCACCAGGGGTCTCCTCTCTGCCCAGCACCCCCATATGACCATGGCGGGTGATCCCGAGGCCCCGGACCAACCCTGGGAGCTGGTGGGAACCGGGGTCGGGGCTGGCGGGGGTCACAGGGAGGAGTTTCCAGATCTTTCCATCTGGCTCGGGAGCACACAATGGGGCTTCTGGGGTGGCAGTGGGAGTCAGTGCGGACAGCAGCTTCCCTCCCCACCCTCCTTGGGGCAGGCTGATGGCAGAGTGAGTCAGGGACCCAGCCCCTGGGGAGCTGGGAGCCTGGGGGGATGTGCAGGTGCTGAGGGCCCGTGGGGGGTCAACGGGAGGCGGTGTTTCCCACGTGAACACCACACGTGGTCCCGGCCGCGCCTGGGAGGCGGTGTTTCCCGCGTGAACACCGCACGTGGTCCCGGCCGCGCCTGGGAGGCGGGGTTTCCCGCGTGAACACCGCACGTGGTCCCGGCTGCGCCTGGGAAGCCAGGCCCTCACCTTTGACCTCCAGGCGGACCTGGTTCTCGGCTTTGCCCAGGATGTTGGTGGCGACGCAGGTGTAGATGCCCTGGTCCTCCTTGCGGATCATCTTGATCTCCAGGCTGCCGTTCTCGTGCACGTGGTAGTTGCCGCCGTCCAGGTTGCTCCCCTGCCCATTCTTAAACCTCACGACGGAGCAGCAGAACACACGGCGTACTGAGAGGGGGCTGCCGCGGGAGCCCCGGGCCAGGAGGCCGCACCCTGAGCCTCTCGGGGCCTCAGTTTCCCGCTCTGCACACGGAGGGGCTGACCCAGGTGGTCTGCTGTGCTCTGCCCAGTTTTGGCCCTTCGGGGCTCTCAGGTCTCGCTGAATACCCACGACAGGCCAGCTGAGGCGGAGCAAGGTGAGACCCGTGACCCCGCCAGGGGAGGCCTGACCCCCTGCGACTTACCATCGGAGCGTGGGGATGGGAGACCCGAAGAACGGGCAGTCCAGCCGGGTGCGGTTGTACAGGATCACTCTGATGAGCTGGTTCCGGGGTGACAGCATCCGCGGTGGCACGTCTGAGGCGAGAACCGGCGCTGGCTGCGGGGTCTACCTCTCCCCCTGCTTCCCCCTGGACCTGGCGCCTGCACGCCTCCTCCTCGCAGCATCTCTCCTCCCCCCTCCAGGAGGAGGCTCACCTATTTGCCCCGCCCCCCAGCTTCTGCAAGGGGCTTCCCCAACTTATCCAGCAGATCCTCGAGCTGCCCCTCCACAGCCCTCTCCTGGCTCAGCAAGGCCAGGAGCCACCTCCCACCCGACACCCCGAGGGTGAGGGCGAGTCCCCCGTCCCGCCAGCCTCTCGCTCGCCCTGCTCTTCGCTGGGAGGAAGGCACACCCAGATCCTCACGCAGCCCCGGGCAGACCGCTGTGGGGGCGCTCACCCAGCACGCTGACGAAGGCGTTGGCCAGCAGGTAGCCGTGCTCGTTGGAGGTGTTGCACTGGTACACGGCCCTGCTGCTGATCTGCGTGTCCCGGAAGATGATGGTGTCGCCGGCCACCTCGCGGTTCGGGTTGGGCGGTGCCGCTACAGGTTGGAAAGAGACGCTTCTCGTGAGCTAGCTGCAGGCCGGGCGGCGGGAGACAGGAGGGGCTCTGGACGGGTCTCCCATTAGAAAGAGGTAGCGCTGGCCGGTTCCCGAAGACCTGGCCTCACCACTGCTGAACGTGGGCCCTTGCAGAGCCCTCCTGGAGCCTGTTTCTCCGTCTGTCCCAGGGAGTGCGAAGCCCTGCTCGACCCACACGCGGCTGAGCAGCTGTGGGGGAGAGCGAAGGCTCCGGAAGGGGACAGGGGTCGAATTCTGGCCCCAACACCTACGGCCATCTCTGAGACCTCGGCTTCTGGCTCCTTGTCGGCAGAGCAGGACACCCAAGCGGTTTGGGTGAAGGTAACTTGAGAGTTTGTCATATGTAAAACGCTTAGCAGGAGGTGCGGTAGCACTGACGGACGCTGCTATTGCCCTTTTAATCCAGCGTGCACATATTTCAATGTTCTGCATAGTGCAACAGACAAATGGACAAGATCGACCCCTCCCCCACCCTCTGCAGACATTCAGAGTTAGACCTGGGAGCCAGGGCCTGCTGGAAACAGAAAGGGTCCTCCTAATTTTTTTTTAATACTTTATTTATTTGAAAGGCAGAGTGACACACACACACACAATCGTCCTACCCACTGGTTCACTCCCTAAGTTGCCTCAACGGCCAGGGCTGAGCCAGGCTGCAGTCAGAAGCCCAGGAGCTCCATCCAGGTCTCCCACGAGAGACCCAAGCAAGTGGGCCAACTTCTGCTCTTTCCCAGGAACGTCAGCAGGGAGCCGGATCAGAAGTAGAGTGGCTGGGACTCGAACCAGTGCTCCGATGTGGGGTGCTGGTGTTGTAAGTGGTGGCTTAACCTGCTGCACCACAACGCCAGCCCCAAGAGTCCTCCTACCTGCCCAAGCTCAAGTCTCCCCAGGAAATGTACCTGGACCCCGTGAGGACGTCACTCTCTCAGTTCTCTGGGGCCGCTGGCTGTGGGGTCTCGGGCCTGCCCTCCTGCCCACTCTGGCGCTTGGGGCAAGCCAGGAATCTCAGCTCCATCGTCCATGAAACAGGGAAGAATCACCCCACCTGTGCCCACTGCCACCTACGGAGGGCTCAGATACAGGAATGACAAGGAGCCGTCGACACAGCTTTCCAGGATGCTAAAGAACGGCCACGTTCCCCATCGTGAATGGCCAGCAGGCGACTTTCGCCCTGGGCGCTGCAGCTGAGGCTGAGATGGCTCACTGAGTCTCACGAGCTCACTCAGACCCGCAGCGGGCAGGGATGCAGGAGGGGGCAGGAGTCTGGCCCTGCGGGCGCCACTCCACAAACAGCAGGTCTGGGCCAGGGACTGCGGAAGCAGCAGAGGACAAACAAGACAAGATCAGCATCTGTGTCGTCATCCGTCCCCGGGCCCCACTCAGCAGAAAGGTGCCGAGAAAAGCCAGGCCAGCAACTCAGCGCCTCCTGGCCCAGTTCGCAGGGAACCAGCTCTCCTGGCGGGCGCTCCCTCACGGGCTGCTGCGGAGTGGCAGACAGGCGATCCTTCCGGACCATGGCTCTCGTCTGCGAGTCCTGGGCTGTGCTGATTTAACGATGTCGCAGTGTAGCTGGCACCACTGTCTGACTCTGAGAGTGCCCCGGGGACAGAGGGACCTGCACAGGGCAGGCTGTGTCCCTGTTTCCACCTGCAGCCAGGGTCACTGTATTTCCCGGGCACTGGGCTGGGGGTCCCGCAGTCTCACCATAGCCCATGGCGTCATCACTTAGCAGCTGTGTGCTCTTGGCACTCGCTGTGCCAATTGCAGCCCCGTTTCTCAGTGTGAACGTCTGAGATTTGAGACAACGGGGCTCCAATGCTAGGCACACGGTGAACACCGCCCAGGCACATTCTCAGGGCTGGGTGCTGTGGTGTAGCGGGTAAAGCCACCACTCGTGGCACCAGCATCCCATATGGGTGCCAGTTTGAGTCCCGGCTGCTCCACTTCTGGTCCGGCTCCCTGCTCAGGCGCCTGGGAAAGCAGCAGAAGATGGCCCAAGTCCTTGGGCCCCTATACTCACGTAGGAGACCCACAGGAAGCTCCTGGTTCCTGGCTCGGTCTGCCCCAGCCCTGGCTGTTGCTGCCATCTGAGGATTGAGCCAGTGGGTGGAAGTTCTCTTTATCTCTGTCTCTCCCTCTCCCTGTGTAACTCTGCCGTTCAAATAAATAAAATAAATCTTTTAAAAAACAAAAGGCATGTTCCCAGGCTCCCCTCTGCCTGTGCCCACCTCTGCACTGGCATCTACAGGCAGCGCTCGCAAGTCAGCTCCTGAATTCTCTCTGCTTTTGCCCCACTTTGCCGGCATCCTGTTTACCTCCCCTCTGAGCCCTCAGAAAGACATGGCAGGACACGCAGGAGAGACTTTGATGTGAAAATGTGACCGAGACCCCCGCTGCGAGGGCCCAGGGAGTCTCCACCCCATCCACGTGGGCAGGCCCAGGCCTTCCCACATCTGCACCTGCTCGATCATGGCACCTGTGTACCTCTGCTCCTGGGAAGTTCTTCTTCCTACCCAGCCCCACCTCGGCAGACAGTAGGACTCGGTTAACTCATGACAAGGAGTCACTCTTCTACCTTTCGGGGCTCAGCCAGCACTGAGAGCCCAGACCCTGGGAGAGGCAGCCACAGTCCCCAGACTCGAACTGGGCCCTGCAGACCCCCGAAGCCTGGACACACAGCCAGCGCCTGCCGGCCTCCAGTTCTCACACACACAAGAGGCAGGGATCTTAGTGCTGGAGAGGCCCCCGGAGCTGGGCTCGGAGAAGCTGCAGCCACCAGGACCCTCGTTCCCTCCACTTCCAGCCAGGGCCGGCAGTGCAGGGGTCTGCAGTGTGACAGGGGTCCGGGGGGGCGGGGCGGCTCATGACTCACACTGCAAGGGCTCCCCGTTCACCATCCACTGCACAGTGGGCTTGGGGTTCCCATTGGCGCGACACACCAGCCTCCCATCCTCGCCCGGAGCCAGGACCAAGTTCTTGGGTTCATCCAGCCAGTAGGGAGCAGCTGGAAGACAAGGAGGGGGCAGGCAGGGGTGTCAGGCAGACTCGTGCCGGGACGGCTGGGAGCCCCGAGTCGCAGCCCAGGCCTCCCCGCCAGGCCGGGCTCGTCCTCACGGGAAGGCTGGGTCCAGCCCGCGCATGGCTGGCCTGGCGGCACGGATGCTGACCGCGTCACAGAGCCCTCAGTGGGGCTGCTTGGCAGAGCCCCTGGAGCACCCTGGAGGCTCCTGCCTGCCAGGGCCCGCTGACAGCCCAGGCTGGTGGAGGGCTCGGGGGCTGAGACGCGCAGCCGGGAGCTCCAGCCGCTGCGGGGAAGGTGGCGAAGCGGGCACCGGGTCAGTCTCTGCGGGTCTCGGCCACTCCTGCCACCATTAGCCCAGCCAGGGGCGGCCTCGTTTCATCCTGTTAGCCCCAGAACCTTGGGGAGACAGTTCCTAGCAGGCCAGCCCTTCCGACTGTCTGGAAAATTCTGTGAATAGCTGGAATTTTTTTCTGACAAGACAGTCTTTGGGTCAGTTTCCCCAAAGGCCAAGAATCCCCTGGGTTGTGCGTGAAACCACGGCCATGAGATCCACCAGGGGGCGCCGAGGAGACGCTCGCTCTCCGCTCTCTCTGACCCCCACCATCCCACCACCCACAGCTGGGGGCCGGGCATCGAGGGAAGTCCCTCGGCCACGAGGACTCCCCATTTTTAGAAGCAGCACAGTAGCACGTATGAGCACGCAGACGGCACGGGGCTAGGACGACACGTCGCAAACAGCGATGCAAAATGAAACACGGGAAAGGCGGGTGGGCTCCCGACGGGCCATGGGAAGAAATGCACCTGCCAAGGGGGCCCCAGCACCGAGCAGTGCCCGGCGGTGGGCAGGGTGGGCTCCTCCCCTCAGCCGCCCCCTCTCCCAGGTGCACTCCCTCCCTCCCACCCACGGCAGGTCACTGCTGGCCACTAACCGCTGTGTTGCAGCCTCCCCCGGGGCAGGGCGGGCCTGGTGCTCAGGGCGGCCAAGGGATCATAATGAGAAATACACACAACGTACCCTTTACTCTCACCGAGATCGTGTGCCGGATGCTGCCCATCTTGTTGGAGGCCAGGCAGAAATACTCGCCGGAGTCTTCCTCGGAGACGTTGGTGATGCGCAGGGCCTTGTTAAAGTTCTCAAACTTGGCCTTGTCCGAGGGGAGGTCCCCGCCTTTCTTGTACCATGCAATGTCTGGTGTGGGGCTAGCAGGAAACACAAGCCTTAGTGCTACACATGGCCGCTCACCACATCCTCGGAGCCTGGCACACTTGTCCTGTGAGACAGGACGCTGGTCCAGAGAGAGCCTGGTGGGCCTAGCTAAGGCCCCCGGGGGTCCTCCTGCACGTGCACACAGGATGCCCGACTGTCCCCCTTCTCATCTCAGGCAGAGATGGCCAGAATCTGCAAAGCCCTGCTGCCTGCGTCTCTTTCTGCTGTGCTGCTGCGGGCACCCACGCGGGGAGAACACAGTGCACCCACCGTACCCCGTGCTGCCAGAGGGCGGCTGGGGACGTGGGCGATACCTACACCCTGTGCTGCCAGAGGGTGGCTGGGGCATGAGCAATACCTACACCCCGTCCTGCCGGAGGGCGGCCGGGGGCGCAGGCCATACCTACGCCCTGTGCTGTTGGGGGGTGGCTGGAGGCGTGGGTGATACCTACACCCTAGAGGGTGGCTGGGGCGTGGGCAATACCTACACCCAGGAGAGCAGCTGGGGGCGTGGGCGATATCTACACCCAGGAGGGCAGCTGAGGGTGCGGGTGATACCTACACCCTGTGCTGCCGGAGGGTGCTGGGGTGCGGGCAATACCTACACCCAGGAGGGTGCTGGGGCGCGGGCGATACCTACACCCGGAGGGCGGCTGGGGCGCGGGCGATACCTACACCTGGAGGGTGCGGGCGATACCTACACCCGGAGGGTGCTGGGGCGCGGGCGATACCTACACCCGGAGGGTGCTGGGGCGGGCGATACCTACACCCCGGAGGCGATGCACTCCAGCAGCAGGTCCATGCCGCGTAGCACCATCTGGCTGCTCGAGGTGCCCTGGGGGTACATGAAGCTGGGGGTCCTTTCCGCGACTCCTCGGGCTGCAACAGGACAGAGGGAGCGTGCCTGAGCCCAGCACCCCGGGCGGACCGGGCCAAAGCTGGCGTCCAGAAAGCAGTTGCCTGGTGGATCCCACCAGGTGAAAGCCCTCACAAGGACTGGCGTCCTGAGAGCTGGTGGGTCGCTCGGGTGCCTCGGCCCCACTGCACACGTGTGCAAGCAGTTCCAGGTTCTGGAAGGATCTGCCGAGAGGAGCCTGGCTTCCCTGAGGGCTCAGGGAATTCCTCCCACCCCCTTCCCTGGAGCAGGGATTCCTCCCACCCCCTTCCCTGGAGCAGGGGTTGAGCTGTCTGATGATGATTTGACCCCCTGAGCTTCCTGGGCTGGGCTCCCAGCAGTCCCTGGGGTGGCCTCTGGCCAGGCCATTTCACTGTGGTCCTTCCTCCCCAGACGGGGACGTGGGAGACAGAGCAGGGGTACACAGGGCTGCAGGACAGACGGCCGGCTCCCTGGGACCTGCAGACAAGCAGCCCCAGAGCCCCAGAGCCCCAGAGCCCCAGAGAAACCATCAGCCACGCAGAGGGTTACGAATGGCTGAGCAAAGACTCGGAGAGAAAGAGTGAGCAGAGATGACAGGAAATCACTCGGGGGCCAGGCCCGTTCTGCCTCCTCACTAATGACTTGGGGAGGGAGCTGGGGAGGTGTTAATTGCATGTGAGATGGGGGGTGGGTGGGGGAGGGGAGTGACAGTGGCAGCCAAGATGGAAGGGGGTGGTGTACCCCTCAACCAGGTTTCAAAGGCCAGGTGGTCGCCAGGGACTGATGGTGTCAGGCTCACATCGGGAATAACGTCCCCGTGGGCAGGGTCTTGCCTGTTTGCGGACACCCACGGCAGGACGGACCCCACCTTGCCCGAGCCCCCTCTTGCCACAGCTCTTTACACGGCTCTGCAGCAACCCGTGAGCTGGAAGGGGTGGGAGCAAGGGTTTTCTAAGCAGGAGCCCAGGCAAAAGGAAACCCCACAGCTCTGACTGTGAGAATCACAAGTGACAATCAGCTGAGCCTGGCCCAGCGAGGCGGGCGGAGCTTTTGGGGCGGGGAGCCCTCAGGATGCCCGGGGGAGCACAAAGGCATCCCCGGGGGCCTGGTCGGTGCTGACAGAGTGAGGACACCTGTCTCCGGGCAGCTGGTGTCTCCTACGGGAGCTTTCTGGGCTGGGGGCTCCTGTTGGGGGGCCCTGGGGAGGGGTGCACGGCGCAGGGGCGGGAAAGATGGGACACACATAGGGGATGGGGTGGCCTGCAGGAAACACGGCATACAGCAGGGGCTCAGCGAATGTGGGGTGAACAGATTACAAGGGGACAGGGAAACAAGAGAGAAGACAGCTGTTACCCCATTCGACATTTTCTGTAAAGGCGTCCTCACCTCCCCCACAGCGCACATGCATGCACACACACACACACACACACAGAGGCTACTGAAGGGGTTAATCCATTATGTGGTTAATCGGTTACCGTCTACACCTATAGTTCTTGCAGACCCAGCTCTCGGTATACGGAAGCCTGACCCCAACCACAGCTTCCTCCCACCGTCAGGGAGTCACCGAGACACTCAAGGTAACACGGGGTCAAGGACACGAGGAGGAGGAGGAGGAGGAGGAGGAGGAGGAGGAGGAGGAGGAGGAGGAGGAGGAGGAGGCGATTCCGGGGCGGGAGGCTCTCGCGTCAGCCTGGGGAAGCTGTCAAGTGCTGGGAGCCTGAGCTGATGTGGAAGGCGTCAGTGCTCCACGCAGAGCCCCATCTGCGGCCCTGCGGACATTTAATTCACACATAGGTGCAGCACCACAAGCCCACACGAGCAGCAAAGCAGTGAGAAGGGGAGGAGGGAGATCAGCAGAGACTCCGGCTGGGGGTGCTGTGGCCCGCTGGAGCGAGGCTATGCAAGGGTACGGCCAGTCTCCTCTCGCAGGAAGTGGGCTAGCAGCCACGATTCATCCCGAAGCAGGAGAAGCTGCTGGGAAACAAGCCGAAGGTAAAAAAAAAAAGCAAAGAACATTCTAGAAGTCAGTGGTAACAACGGGGCCACCGTTCGGTGAGCAGGTGTTACGGGCGATGCGCTGGTGGGCGGCTCGCTGTCCTGGGAGTCCTCCAGGCAGGCCTGGGGAGGGTGCCCCCAGGCCCAGCAGGGGACACAGTTCCTGTGAGGTCATCAGGCTCGCCCAGCGTCACAGCGAGCTGTTCTGGATTCTGCACCGGGCACGGAAGCCTCCGCTCCACGCCTCCTCGGTGTCACCCCTGTGTGAGCGAGGATCTCCCGCTTGTCCCCACTCTGACAGCACGCGCCATCTATCTTAAACCAAACTCCAAAGGCAAAAGACGCTGTCTTCGCGAGCTGCTGAACTCCCCACTGCGTTCCACCACCTCCCAGGCCTGGCTCAAGAGCCCATCTCTCCCCAGCCACGAACAAACACACTCAGACCTAGCCACGGAGGGGAAGGGAGGCCCCAGGGGCACCTGGAGGACACAGGAAGCTTGCAGGTGCGTCGGGGCCGGGGCAGGCGGCGATGCCACTAAGGCTGGCCCAATAGGAGTGTGGCCAGCTGCAGCCAGGGGAATGACTGAGAGAATTTAGGACGGATCATCCAGCGGTGGCTTTGGGAGCCCCTGTTCCCACAGGAGGGGGCCAGGCCTAAGGCCTTCCCTGGAGAAGTTCACAGAGGCAGAGTCTCCCAGGCCAAGGTGATTGCTACATCTCTCCAGGGCCAGAGCACGCACGGAGCCCCAGGGAGCCGGCCGCCCTCATGGGAGCCTGTCGTTCTGATCTTCAGGGTGGGGCTGACCTAACACCTGGTCACACCCACAGCCAGATGCTGATGCCCTCAGGCGTGGCATCCCTCCACCACAGTGGGAGACGCCTGTCCATCATCCGCTGCTGCCGGGAAGTGTGCTGGCAGCCTCAGGGGCTCCCCCCGCCAGGCACTCCACGTCAGGAGGACACAGGGTCCCGCGCATCAGCTACGTCCAAGAACCTCTGCCGAGAGCACTCCGTCCAGACCGCACGGCTGCTTTCAGCTCTCAGAACCGAGAACCAGAGACGCACGGGGCTGGGCTCCCGGCCTCCTGCCTGCCTCTCTGGCGTGGAGAATGGCCGACCAAACCATCCCCGGAGAGGAGAAGAACTCTGTAGCAAAGAGGCTACCTCGCTGTCTGGAAGTTTCTCACCTTTCTCTCTCCAGCAGGAGCCGAGCCGGCACAGTGAGGACTTAGGCAGCTTCTTCCTCTAGGCTGCCCTGAACTTTCTCCGAATTCTCCCTCCAGCTGCACCTGCCCTCTGCCCCTCGTCTTCCCTTCACGTCAGACGCGCAGATGAACCGCACGAGCCGGGCAATCCTAAGCTGTTCCTGATCATTTACTGATGTGTGCAGCACGGGAGCCAGAGCCACTTGATCCTGCCGCCTCGCAATAGCCCCAGGAGTCAGGCACCCGTACGCCCACCTGGCCGACGAGGAACGCAAGCTCTGAGACCCTAGAGGACTCGCCTCGCGTCACTCTACGGTACGCCCTGGGGTCTGGGTCTCACCTGGGCGGTCGGCTCAGAGTGGACCGGGCGGATCTTAAGTTGCGGTCTCAGCGGAGACCATATTGCAAAGCCAACACGCAGGCGCACTGGGATTCTCACTGTGCCCAGCTCCTGCACTCGGGAGAGGCTCTTCCCGCTTCCTCCCTTCTCATTTTCTATTTCCTTCCCAAAGCACCAGCCCAGCTGTCTCCTGTTCAACGCGCGCCTCACTCTGGTTTTACATCCTTTGCAGCGGCTGCCTAACTTGGGTCAGCCCTGTCTTTGCTGGACGGGGGACAAGGGCCCAGTCCCCATGGGGGAGCTTGTGAGCTCTAAGTGCCACTCGGCCTCTTGTGAGGACGTCGACCACTGGTCACCAGCCGCCTTAGCGGGCTGGAATCCCTCAAACTCCCTCTGTTGATAAAACAACACCGCGAGCCTGCTTCCTGCCACGGCTGATCTCATACAAGGTGGGCTGGGGTCACACGGGGCTCCAGGGACCTCCTGGGTCTGAGCCGCTCTGGCTTCCAGAATGCTTCCTCTTACACAGCGCCTGGAACCCAGGACGGAGGAAGACGGAGTCCACGCCAGTGCCGGGCAGCTCTCCACCAGCAGTGGCTGCCCGGTCACCTGGAGAGATACCCACAATCCAACAGAGGCCCCCACTCCCTGGGGCGGCCGACCTCTCTGGCAGACTCAACGCGATTCCAGCTGCTTGGTGCCAAGCTGCAGGCAGGGGCCTGGCTCCCTCGTCCTGTCCCCCACGCCGACACCAGTCCTTGTTTCCATTAGCACAGCACAGGAGAGGCGCTGCCTGTCAGAGCCTCCGCTTCCGCCAGCTGCTCAAGGAAATCAAAGTGTGCTTGAGTCCTGGCGAGGGGTCACTCAGCTGTGGAAATGGCCAGTGACCCTGCAACCACTCGAGCGATGAGTGACAACCACGTCTCGGCGTCCTGCCTCTGTGACTCGCAGGCGTGGGCTGGTGAGCCCGGGACTTGCACACTCCACCAGGGAGAGAAGCGGCACAGGTGACGGAGGACCACAGATGCCCCGCTGCCTGTATACTCACCTTGAAGGGGACTCAGAGCAGGACCCTCACGCCTATCTCCAGGGGAGACTTTAGAGTGACGAGGACTAGCTGTGAAATGATAAACAGCAACCAAGGCTGTTTATCCACAACCCACACCGCCAGGCTCTCTGAGCTCCTTAAACCGCCGGCAGGAACCACACTTCCTGTCTTGCCTCGCCGTGGGCACTATCATCAGACCCTGTCCCCATACCCTCCCATCCCACTGGCTCCTAAGCTCTACCGAATCCTCACGGAGCTCTCCTGAAACCCTACCTGGGGTCCGAACAACTGGTTGAGACCCCAGCAGCTTGAGGCTGGTGTGCTAGGACCCGCCTGTGCCACGTGAGCCACGGCAAACGCGTCCCGGAGGTGTCAGAGCTGCCACCCCGCAGGAGTTAGTGACGCGGTTATCAGTCCAGTTAGGCAAAGTGGGGTTAGGACAGGCAGGGCTGCTCCCAGGTTACCGCTGCGACTCACCACTGTACATGTCAGGGTGGTTTCGTAAGGACGAGTCGTTATAGGGGTGGTCTGCAATAAACAAAAGAGGGTGAGCACACGGGGGCCACGGAGGAGTCACGGAGGCGAAGCCACACACAAACCAGGGCAGCCCCAGGGTTGGGGCGCAAAGGAAAGACGTGGCACACTTGGTGAGGGACGAGCAACACAAAACAGCCCAAAATAAGGGAAGAAGAGGTTAAATCCTGCAAAAGAAGGCAACAGTAAAATAGAAAGGAAAGAAATTAGGCTCCAACTTGACTCGCTTGGTCCCACTGCAGTGTGGCACGGACGAGACTCGGATTAGTGGCGGTGGCGGCGGCAGTCTTGGGCTGCCTCCTCCTCGGGGGCCTAGTGCCTGGGACTCATCCCCAGGCGAGCTCTCGGGGCGGCTTGAGGAGAGGGAGCGTTAGTGAGCCCCGGGGGAGAGCAAGGTCCCGCTGAACACAGGCTAAGCTGCAGTGGAGGAGAGAGGAGACAGTCCTGGACAAGGACAGCGAGGAGAGCGACCCCTGGCGGTGCCTGGCGACCAGCACCCACCCCTAGTCCAACGGGGGCTCCCCCAGGGTCTCTGAGGTCTCCTGGTGAGGATGCTGGGAGCGGCCCAATGAGGCTGGAGAGCTTGGTGGAGGTTTGGGCTTTAGGATTTAGAACGTGGCCGGCGCCGCGGCTCAATAGGCTAATCCTCCACTTTGCGGCGCTGGCACACCGGGTTCTAGTCCCGGTCGGGGCGCCGGATTCTGTCCCGGTTGCCCCTCTTCCAGGCCAGCTCTCTGCTATGGCCAAGGAGTGCAGTGGAGGATGGCCCAAGTGCTTGGGCCCTGCACCCCATGGGAGACCAGGATAAGTACCTGGCTCCTGCCATTGGATCAGCGCCAGCCGCAGCAGCCGTTGGAGGGTGAACCAACGGCAAAGGAAGACCTTTCTCTCTGTCTCTCTCTCTCACTGTCCACTCTGCCTGTCAAAAAATAAATAAAAAAATTTTAAAAAATGTTTTAAAAAAAAGGATTTAGAACGTAGCTCGAGACAGGGGAGAGAGGAGCTGTGAGGTCCACACTCTGGACCAAGACAGTTCTGCCTACTACGAGGGACCTCCTGGGCTCCCCAGGCCGTGCTGAGACGATGGCATTCCCACAGGGGCGGGGCCGGTGGCCTCGCTGCCAGCGCTGGGTAATCAAGACCCACAGGCAGGGTGTCCTCCTTGCTGAGAAGGGACAGTATCACGCCACCGTCCCGAGCGGCTTCTCACCCTCTGCCACCAGCACCCTTCAGCTGCAGGGTTCGAGTTCTGGCAGCACCCGCAGGAGGCTGTGAGGCTGACTGGCAGCCAGGCAGCCGGCGCGGAGGAGCCCAGGACGCACTCCAACTGCCCGAGGGAGGCCAGGTGCCGCGCCAAGACATTTGCATATTTGAAGAGTGATCAGATCCCCTCACAGCCAATTACAAGAGGGGGACGCGAGTTCTTTTCTGGGACTGGCACGGTGCTGCTCCCAAGTCTGCTTCACACCCCGGGGTGGGGAAAGCACTTCATGATTTGGAAGCATCTCTGAGGACGGGCTGGGGGGGGGTGGGAGTCGGCCTGGGAAGATCTGGAGCTCCAGGTGGGAGCCCATCCCCCACGGAAGGAGGAGGCAGGTGTGCAGGGGCAGGTGGGCTGGGGAGCGATTGCTCCGCCCCTCTCCTGGTGCGGGGGTGGGGGAAGCAGAGGCACACTCAGGGCACAGGGCCCTTCTTCCAGGCTCCCAGGCTACCAGGTGCAACAGGGCCTGTCTCTTACCAGGGAGCTGAGCCAGGACCAGGACTGAGCTGACCATTTGCGGATTCTGGGGACAGAGGAGAACTGCAGGGCGATTTTCAGGCTTTTTTAAGACTATCACTTGGACTTGAGAAGGGAGCAGGGGCAGTGTTGCAGCGTCTGCCCAGGGACAGCCTTGCCCCGTACCACGGTCGCCTCTTACTACAGCAGGGCCCTGAAGAAGTCTCGGAGCCGGCCACAGCGCCTGCAGAGTGGGCCGGGGGCCGCTGTGTATCTTTGGGTGCATCTCCAGCTGGTTTTGCAAAGCCTTGTAAGTTTCCCCGGCTTGTGTGAATGCCGGTCTCCCCTCTGGTGATGCAGGTAACAGCAAATGGGACGTGCTGAGAGGAACCGCCTCCCAGGTGGGCAGACACGGCCGAAGCACCTGCTGCTGCCCCCGCTCCTCTGCCCCAGCTCCCAGCCCGGACCTTGTTAGGCGCACACAAGGAAGCCTGTGTCCTTGGCAGCCAGGGAGGTGCAGAGAGCACTCCCGAACTATTTTCAGCAACTGTGCCCAATTCTCGGCTGGCTCGGATGCCCAGGACTTGCTTCCAGCCAAAGCTGCCCCTGGAAGAACTCCAGGGAGCCGGCAGGGTTGTGTTCGGTCACCTAGAGGGTTTCTTGTCACTGAGAGGAAAGAGTCTTCAATGGAACAAAGGACCCAGAAATGAAGCAAAACCAGACAGCCCTCGCATCCTCTGCTGGTGGAAAGGATACTTCTATAAAGCCCTGCTTGCACATGCTGTTTACACCTCTAACTGCTTAGGGCAGCCTCTTGCTCACCTGCACCTCCCGGCCTCTGCCCTGGACGGCAGAGGGCACCAGGCTGACTCCCAGCACTGCCCCTGGCAAGAAGCCAAGGACCCATGGTCTGCTCAGTGAGCAGCTTGCTCTGCCATCCTGGTGCTGGCCATGGAGGCAGGCCATGCCGTCCTCCCCAGCCCGGCTGGCCGGCTTGGGGAGGGGCAAGCAGCGGGAGGTGGGGTCACTCTCCAGGAACACGCAGGGCTCGGGGACCATCGCATCACGGGCAGCTCGCCGCCTGCTCGTCACAGCGTGTGGGGACGCCGTGGAGGCAGGAGGCGGCGACCAGAGGAGGGGACAGCCGAGTTCCAAGAAAGCAAGGAGAACAGAGAGAGGGCCAGGAAAGCAGGGGAAGTGGCGAAGGGAGCGAGAGAGAAAAAGACGAGATGAGGAACCCAGCAAGAGAGCAGAGAGGGCAGCCGCCCGAGGGGTTGATCTCACTGCCGTGGGAGCCCCTGTGGGCTGGGTGGACTTGACGGGCCTGAAGCAGGGACTGAGGGGGACAGAGGGGTGGGGGTCAGGACCCCTCTCACCTGGGCTGCTCCCCGCCTGCACCTGCCCGTGGGCTGTGGCGAGCCAAGGTTCGGCCTCTTTTCTCAGACCTGAGGGTGCTGCCGGCACCCACGTGGTGCTCCCCACCCAGCCTCCCCCACAGCCCTTGCCGTCCACAGCGTGGGAAACCGCGCTCACAGCAAGAATGAGGGACACAAAGGACTCTGGGGGGGGGATCTTCTGGACGGCGCGCCCCACATCCACCGTGAAAACCTGCCTAAGTGACTTCCAGCGCCCCGAGCGGGCGTGGGCTTTGCACAAACACCCTAGGCTGGCCTGTCCCCACCCCGGAGGGTGCTGGTGACGAAGCTGCCGTCTCCCCTGCAGAGGCCACCAATGCGCAGCTGGGCCAGGAGACGCTTCCTGGCCTGTGTTCCAGTCACACAGCATCAGGGGATAGAAAGCTAAAACAATCAGAACTCAAATGTACACCTGCAAGTTGCAAACACAGCAGTTCCACGCGGTTCCGCGTGCGCGTGCCTCGGAATCCAGTGACGTGTGCACTAACCATAACGGTCCATGCTATAGCTTTCTTTTAGAAACAAAGATAACTAAGCAACGGCTAGAAGTAAAACAAACAGGTGCAGGGGTGGGACCCCAGACGACCCCTTAAAGCAGCAAGACTCAAACTCCGGTGGGCACCCACCTCCCAGCACAGGTGCCGGGCCTCGGTCTAGCTGCCAGGTCCCCAGCAGCTCTGACCCCACCACAGTAGGAGCAGCACTGACTTGGATGTGACCAAGTTGGCCTCGCGGCTTCAGAAGCAGGGGACGGGTGTCAGGACGGCTGAGGCGGCTCGGGTACCGCAAGCTGGACAGGTGTCCAGGCGAGCTGCTCGGGCTCAGCGGGCGGCCTCCCTGGCCCCAGCCCCGGGCAGGGGTCTCACTTACTGGTGAGGACCTTGAGGGTGAAGGGGTTCTTCTGCTGGATGGTGTGGGTGAAGTGGAAGCGGGCGTTGCAGCTGTAGTCGGTTTGCATGTCCTGCAGTATCACGTTAGAGAAATACAGGTCTCCGTTGTGGCCCTGGGACACACGCTTGTCTTGGGTGATGGGCTCCATGGCTATGGGGAGGCAGAGGGCCAGGCTGGTTAGTAGCTATCATGCTATCACTTTTTTTTTTTTTTTTAATATTTACTTATTTATTTGAAAGGCAGAGTCACAGCAGAAAGAGAGGGAGTGAGAGATTGAAATCTTCCAGCTACTGGTTCATACCCCAAATGGTCACAATGGCCAGGGTTGGGTCAGGCCAAATCCAGGAACCAGGAGCTTCTTCCAGGTCTCCCTCATGGGTGCAGGAGCCCGAACACTTGGGCCATCTTCCCCTGCTTTCCCAGGCCATTAGCGGGGAGCTGGATCAGAAGTGGAGCAGCCAGGACTTGAACCAGCACCCACATGGGAGGCTGGTATTGTGGGCAGTAGTTTAACCCACTGCAGCACAGCGCTGGCCCAAGTCACCACTGCTTAAAGCACAAGGGATGCCCACCGCAGGGTGGGGTCGTCTTTCAAACATTCCCAAGCCCCAAGGGCTTCCTCGAGGCCTGCACAGGGCTGGCCACGGTGCTAGGTGCTGGTGAGAGACGACCAAGGAAGAGTCTGTCTTTCTAAGAGCTTCCAGGCTCCAGCAGAAGAGACGGCAAATAAACAAGTTACTGCAGCATGAGGCGGCACGTGGAATGAAGCTGGTGGGAAGGGGGTGGGTGGCGGAAAAGCCCCGATCCTTTGCAGGGGGTCCCGAGCTGAGCCCTGAGGAGGAAAAGACAGAGGAGCCCAGAGGCTCGCAGGCAGCAGGGCTGAGTGCACAGAGCCCTTTCAGAGGTGTGGCAGGGAGGCGGGGGGACGCTGCAGGGGCAGGGGGACTAGGGTAGGAAGGGGACCGGGGGGAGGAGCCCGGACTTCCCCGGGGTGACAGGGGAGCCCACGAGGACCTTCAAGCCCGTGAATGCAATCATCAGGTTCAAGCTTTTAGGAAAGATCGGGGAGACCGGGATGGATAAGTGTGGCCTGGGCCGGGGAGACGTCCACGGGGGTGGAGCAGCGAGGAGGCCCCAAGATCTGTTCAGGACACAACTCGGCAGCAGCGGAGGGGATGTGGTGGGTGGGGGAGGAGGGTCCGGACCATGAAGGAGCAAACCAGCCCCAGCCTGCGGCCTGTGAGCCTCCCCTGCAGATCTGCCCTGGGATGAGGGAAGGGCCGGACGGTGACTGAGCCCAGAGATCTGGCCCTGCAGCCACCTCCCGACGGAAGGAGGCAGCCGCTGGTGAGGATTCAGCGGTGGTGAGAACAGGGGAGGGGGCGGGGAGGTGGCCCATGGACCGACAGGTGGATGGCTACACAGCAAGGGAAGGACAGCAGCAGGAGCAGATGGAGGGACGGTGGGCCTCCGCCTGCCTCCGGAAGCCCCCTCTTCCCTCAATTGAAACAGGAGAAGTGCAGAGAGGCTGAACAAGCCCCAGTCCCCCATCAGCCAGAACCGTTTCTGAATGTGGTTACCCTCTCACA